TTCCGCTAAAATTGAATTTCCGTTTCCGCTACATTAGCAAATACATAACACATAATGATGGGTTCTGGGTAAACACAAGCAATACACTCTGCCACGTTCGTAGAGTGATACAGTACATATAATTTGTAATAAAATTTTAAAGTCCTGCTATAATAGCCGAGATAAGTTTATTTCTCCAGAAACAGGGCCGCCAATTGCAATGACGGAGATAGTATAAAGGATGGTCTCTTCAGCCCCAAATGCCACGTTCAGGTAAGTTTTAAGGGTGTTTTTTTATGGTCTAAGTCATGGACGTTTCGTAAGTGAAGAAATGTGCCGTGAAGAGCAGCTTATGGACATAAAAAACTCCCATGTTCACACCAGCTCATTTGTCATCTTTTTTTCCAGTGCATTTACAGAGTATATCAGTAACCTTAAGCCACGCTGTTGACATTCGGCGAGGCAGGACGCTTCCAAGCCTCAGATACTGCTTATTATATAATTAACCGCTCAAAAAAATAACCCTATCAAACCTAACTTAACTCACCCTAAATAACACAATAATGTTTAGGTGAGCGTCGTGTTGGCAAGCTGGCGGACACTCGCCCCACAAGAGGTCACAGCTCAAGAGTGAAGAAGCAGTTCCTGAAGCAGTTCCTGAAGCTGTTCCTGAAGCTGTTTTGTTTGTGCTATCTTTCCTAACACAACTATTCACTATGGTATAATAAAAGCACTGAGGTTGATGTCTCCAAAATAAAACTGAAATACGTAAAACTAGGCACTTTTGTATATAAATGTTTATGTTAGCTCACACACAATAAAACACATGAAACTTCTCTTGGATATAACCAAACACTGACCACATGAAGCCCTCTATTGTGACGTATTTTTGCATAAAACACAAAAAGATTATAATGGGCGTGACCTTATTAATATTATTATTTGCATTATTATTATTGTGATTGTTAATATTATTATATTTAGATTTAATTAGATATACTTCACTGAATCTTAACAAGAATATTTTATAATACTTTCGCATGAGGTACAGATTTACGACTTTCCAAAGAGTCCAATTTATACCCATTAGTTATAAAAGAAATAGAAAATGTTTATTAGTGGAAAGATATATGAGATCTGATGCTTTTCTTCCACTCATCTATTTATGTTTTTTATTAATTTTCTTTCCTTCTATATTAAAAGAGAAATTTCAGATGATAAAATTACTAACTTACGCAGTTTCGCCACACAACAATAAAGTGTTACCAAAGGAATAGAACTCGGTGTTACTCTTCATGTGGAGACCGCATAACTGTAAGCTCTAATTCGTTTTATTGTAACGTATTCCGCCTGTTTCTGTAATAACAATCATTGGTAAAGGTCTAAGAAACAATTATCCCCAGAAATGATTTATGGATATTAATCAAAATTTCTGGAGATACTAGTTCCATGCTACTGAACACGAGAATGGAAGTAAGGATAAACAAAATCCAATACATGACCTAACTTCCTAGTGGGGAAGCACAGGAACTTACCTTAAGACAAATTGACCAATGATAGCTGACAAAGTCATCAGGTAAAGGTTCCTTTACCTTGTATCAAGCAAACTGAAGCAAATTTATCGGGGTTTTTTATGGTTTTAAGCAACTTGAAATGTATATTTTTCCTCGCCTAAGTTTCATGATTAATTTGAAGATTATATATACAGTATTATATAGTAAGTTACTCTTACACGGTCGACAACCATTAACACGGATACAATTATTTAAGTTATCTCTCAGCTCAGCTTTTGCGTTTTACCGACTGGAGTTTCAACACCTAAGTCTTAAGAGTCTGGGATATCCTATAAACTCAAGAAATTAACCTGGCCACGTTAGTTATTCACTAGTCTGACGTTGAATACGGAATCTATATCAGGTTATGCCTCAACTTTGTACGTTTTCTTTTAAATGTTTAATACAAGAAACTGTACAGTAATGGAAGGTTAGCTAATATTAGTTAGACCCAGTAGCAAGGCCCAGGTTTGATTCTTCGCTTAACAATTAAGAAAAAATTCCATTTTATATTTGAACATTAGGCTCAGGCAAGGTGATTTTAGGGTAATACTTGACGACCTTGGCGCTTCCTTAACAGCTACTGTCATCTTTGTTTCTGATCGAACAGTGATTTTCATATAAATTATATTTTTCTTCTAGATGAGTAAAATACAAGATAACTGTATAATATATTTAGGTTATGTTAGGTTTGGTAGGTTAGTTTGGTTTTTCTAAAACAAAAATATTTATACGAAAATAACTGTTTCATCAGAAGCAAAGCGAACAGAGAGAACATCATATTGTTTCGCCTACCAAACGTGAATAACCGTAAAAATAGTATTCCTAGTGCCAGACAACAAATTACTCAAAACAAGGTGGTGAGGTCTTCCTTGGGTATGAATGGATTAGAGCAGGGGTTCTCAACCAGGGGGGAATTTCCCCCCTCAGGTTTTCAGGGAGGGGGGGGGGAACTGATATTAATATGGAAAAAATAAAGGATTTTCAGTATTATATGCATATTATTTGGAATGCACTTTTTGAGGCAGACAATCTTGGAAAGGAGGGGGGAATGACATTCTGACATATGGTGAAAGGGGTGCATGGGGCAAACAAGGTTGAGAACCACTGGATTAGAGGAATCATTTGTGTCAACGTCTTGCAAACGTTGGCAATGTTAAGTGTGGAAGGTAAATTGAAGTAGTATAGTAGTATTGTATAATTATCATGATCAGCAACACTTATTCATCCCAATAATTTAGCATATACCATTTATATTCCCTTCTTCCTACTCCTCCCTCATCTCCCTTTAGGTGTCTCTCCGTGCCTCACATGTCTCTCCGGCTCATCTCTCACAAACCCTGCCACTTTTCCTTCCAGTCACCCCCTCCCACCACATAACCTACATCCAGGCAGGTTTCCCCCCGACACAGTACGAGGCTTGTTCACCCAACCATGTACCCACAGTAATAGTTCCTCCTCAGACAACTACTCCGATACGATGGCCGTGGCTTCAAGAGTGTAATTAGCAATTCCTGATTTACTGTGGCGATGAATTGCATGGAAGAGACAAGTGTGGTGGCGGTAGTAATGGTTGTGAGGGTCACTGGCCTCCTTCCCTCGGTATGGTCACCCATTAGGTAATTAATGTAAAGGTAAAACAAAATATACCGTAGCTAGGTCAGGTCAGGTTAGGTTAGGTAGGTCATTCCTAACCTAACCAAACCCGACCTTACTCGTAATTTTTATCTTTTATAATCCTAGAATAACCAAATATGAAAATCTCGCCACAGTCTATAAACGAATATTAACCCACAGTATACATCCAATTTTATTCAAGCCCGGTACCACAGGGCAGTGTATTGGGCCACCTGTTCGTTTGCTTCATACATGCCATGCCTAACGCTGTACATTTCTCCATACAAATGTTTGCGGATGACGCCAAGTTATTTCGTGAAATTAAGAACCAAGCGGACTGTGAAGAGCTGCCGAAAGATCTCTGTGAGCTTCAAGAATGGTCGAAGAAATGGCTGCTAAGATTCAATGTCACGAAGTGTAAGAGGCTGCACCTGGGACGTACCAACGGTAAGGAGTCGTATCATATGTTCCAAAGGGACGACGAAACTGCATTAATTGAGACTGAGTGTGAAAAGGACCTGGGTGTGTATGTTGACAATGAGCTGAAGTTCTCGGGCCATTGCGAGAAGAAGGAGAATCAGGTAACTAAATTATTAGGGTCTTATAAGAAGGTCGTTCAGATATCTAGAGGGTCCGTCCCTCGTAACGATCTTCAAGAGTGAAGTGCTTCCCCATCTGGAGTACTGTCACCCCGTCTGGTCCCCGAGATATGCTAGGGACTGTCAGTTGATTGAAAATGTCCAAAGGAGGGCCACCAGATTGATGCCTGCAATTCGGCACCTCAGCTACCCTGAGAGATTAGAGCGACTGAAATTATTTAGCTTATACTACAGACGGGCAAGGGGGGGGGGGGGACCTAATTGAGGTTTATAAACATCTCCAAGGGCCCTACTCAGTCGAGTGCCCGTACCTGGAGCTGGTGGGTGCTCGCCCCACAAAGGGTCACAGCTTATGGTTGAAGAAGCCGCAAGCCCAGAAAACAATGAGGGATAACTTTTTTGGAGTGAGAGTTGTGAACTCATGGAAGAATCTGCCAGAGTGTTGTGACGGCACCGAGTGTGAGCTCTTTCAAGGCCAGACTTGACCAACACTGGGGCAGGTTCAGATACATTCAGGAGCCAGTGCATGTCCAGTACTTGCCAACAATGCGTAACAGAGACGTGACTGAACGCCCAAGCGGATAAAGGTAAGTAAAAGTAACACAACATCGGTCTCCTGGTAACACAAATTCGAGAGGCATGTTTGTGGTTAGTCATACGATATCTAACTCTCATAGTGCACTGCCGTATAGGATAATAAGCACCAGGTTACCTCTAATTCAGTGCTTGATGGGGTATTATAAAGGGTGAACGGTAATAAAGTCACAGGAAAAAGTCACAGAAAAAAAATCACAATTTTGGCTAGGAAAAAAAGTCACTTTTAAGGTAATAAAACTAAAAATATTTTAAAACTGTTACTATATTAACTGACAATACACGACTTTTACATATTGACAACACAATTTATATATGATGCACGTAGGTTAGGTCAAGGTTAGGTTGGGTTGGGTTAGGTGACTTTTTTCTGTGACTTTTTTCTGTGACTTTTTCCTGTGACTTTTTTACCTGGATTCATTATACAGTACTATATCAAGTGTTTTAGTAGTATATCAGTCGATTTTCTTCGCTTCACGCCATGACACTTTCTAGGCTATAAAGATGCTGACGACGATTAGTTTGGAGAAAGCTGTGTGCAAGAAGAAGAACTAATTGTAGATACAGGCAAGTACTGTACAACACAGCCACGCGAGGTGTCTGCAGGAAACCATGACATACAGAGTGGCCGCTGTATAGTCACTAGTCAGTATCCAAACCCCACACAGACAGCACACTGCTCCCCACCTCGACCAGCGCCTCCTCCACATAGTTCGACGACTCTGTATATATACTGACAAAATATGAGACCTGCAATTAACGTAATGTTGCTCCACCTTTGCTGAGAAAAATGCATAAAATGGGAACATTCAACTGGCGCAGGCCGTGTTAGAGTTAAGTAAACAGTGCCATACTCTATTACAAAATTAATCTTGAAGACATTATAGGCATTACTATCAGAGAACTGTTACTTCAGATCAGTATGTAACTGTCTTGTTCTTATCGGTCGTGTATTTTGATCAGATCGTGTGCACTTGCCACAGTTTAGCAAGTCGTTAAAATATAATCAGTTGGAATATAGGACAAATTACTTATACAATACAGTGTACTGTATGAGCCAAATAAACTTGTGCTTTTTTTAGGCAAGATGAGGTTAAGGGGAGTGTGGCACTGGAGTGTAGGAGTGGTGGTGGTGGTCGCTGTAGCAGCATACCACAACACACATGCTGGTGATGATCCTACATCTCCCTCCCTCTCGCCTCAGCACCACGCCCTCTACATTGTTACACGCAAGTTACGTTCGGGTCAGAAGGACAACGCCTCCAGTTACTGGCCAGTAAAAGCAAGAGAGAATAATAACACGCAAGTTCATAGTGATTTTTCTAACGTTTTTCAAGATATAATCTCCCCTGACAGCCGGGGAATGAAGGTGGGAAGAGACAATATAACACCAGCTCCGACTGAGAGTGAGCTACATAATGATGTGTCAGGAGTGACAGCCAATGGTCAGCTGGTAAATGGTTGGTTGTGGAGTCTGGCCAACCCTGGATGGCTGTACCAGCGAGTAAAACATTTATACGAATCCCTCACTACCCATCGCCTCTATTACCACCTGTTGTCCCGCCAGGCCTTTAACACGCTGCTGACGGAGATGACACACGTGTCTCCTGACGTCCTTACCCCAAACCTGTTCCAGGTGATAGATAAACTTTACTATCAGCTGAACCTAGCAGAAAGCGTTATGCATAATATCACCTCCGTCATGCAGACAACTGAGCTTCATTACTACCTGGATGACGACACCATCTTAGAGATGATGCACCACCACCTACTGCCAACATCATACGTAAATATACAGTCGCATGATTCCGAGAGTCTCACTCCCTCAATGCTCGTGGATTCAGTTGTCTCGACTAGTTTCTCAGACTCCCACACTGCAAGAGTCTCTCTGAATAATCCTAATACAGCTTCCTCAACAAATGCTAGTTCACGTCTGTTCACTTCACCGGAAGTCACATTTAACCCGTCTACAACAAGCAAAAGTTATACTGCTGCCAGCGAGAGTGACAGTGTGCCCAACGTCTCCACCCCAGCTGGTCTTGACTTCCAGCTGCATGATTCTCATCATAAAATCTCTTCTCACTCACCCCATGTTGTTTCTCAACACACTGTACATACTGGCACCAACACCAAGCTGTTAACATCTCACCAAAATGCATTACATGAAGCCATGAGCAATCCACTTCAACCCACCTGGTCACACCAGGACATTAGTATTGCCTCAGGCACAGAGGATGTAGTGCTGGGTAGTGCCTCCAGCACACCCCAGGAAGAGATGCTCGCACACCCCTACGACACCATACCTGGTATCACACACACACATACACCTTCTATACATAATGACAGACAAAGTCTGGACCTTCTGAAGAACCAAAGTGTAAGAGGACGCACAAGGAGGATGGAAAATAATAGTGAGAGGTTTGTGGTATCTTTCAACATTTCCAATAACCGTGGCTCTGTGGTGACAGAGAGCGGGGACATGGTATTGAGGAGTACTGTCAGTGCTAGACCAGTACTAAGGTCATTACCACAGGTCCCTGACCTTATATCTAGACCACCCCGGTCTGACACTGGTGCTTCCCCACAGCAGCGCCCTTCACCAGGCAGGCCGCTCCACCCTTCCCTTCCCTGGGTTCGACCTGGTACCCTCCCAGGCTATTCTCAACACCTAGCTAACCCTGCACCACCTCCACCTGAAGCCATAGACCCTGTTAGTCTACTGATGTCAGAGGGCGGTACAACAGTGCCACCCATCACCACCACAGCTGCTCCGGGACCTTCACGTCAGCAGCTCCTTGATGCACTGGTGCTCCTGGCAGACCTCCACAGCAGTTTTAACCGTGGAGGAATCAGTGAACTGCCGACGCCCACCATTAACTTACAGACCCCCCAGACCCCTGGCAATGAGGTCCAGGTGTCCCTGTCACAACAAGCACCTGGACAAACTCATCACCTTGGTGCAACCATTAGTGGGGCTCTATCACCACCCCTCCCAGGCCCCCATCCCCATAGTTCACTCATCAATCCTTACCAAGTGCCTTTTTCCCAACCTAACGTGGGATATTCTGGATATGTTGGTAATGCCGGATATACTAGTTATCTTGGTTCCCCATCTTATTCCTACCCAGGTAGCCCATACCCTCAGTATCCTTACCCGCCGCCATATCCCTATCCATACCCGCCACCGTCACACATATGCCAGGGAGGAGGAGCTTCCACCAGCACCTCTACAGGGCCAGGGTCAGCGGCAGCAGCCGCTGCAGCAGGCGGTGGGTGTGGTGGTGGCTCAACATCGTCATCAACATCAGTAGGTCAGAGTGCAGGGGCAGCACCAGGATCTATGTCTGTGCACACCAACACAGGTGGTGGCTCTCAGGTGCAGCTTGTGAGTGCACCAGTTCCTGCTCTGGCACCTGCTGCACCTCCCCTGGCCTCCCAATCTGCTGCACCTCCCTTAGCCTCCCCACCTGCTGCCCCTCCCCCTACACCAGCTCCACCTTTCACCTTCAGCTTCAACACAGGCTCCACCACAACGGAGGCACCTTCAGTGTCACAGGAGGAATATGGACAAGTAGTGGCGGCACTCAGCACACTGATGGGCTACCTCAACCGCACCTCAACGCAACCTCAGGGTGAGCCAACACATCACTTTTCTTAAGGTAATATTGGGGCATTGTCATTCAATACGGCAGTCTTGAAATCCCTTAAATCACTACAGAACTTATCTAGAACAGTTTTACCTGAATCATGATGATTTTTATAAGAATGATCTCAAGGAGCTTTACAAATTTATTTTCTGTCGTAGGGTCGTAGTGGGAAGTGAAAAAGGTAAATGTCTATATAATGTCCTTTCATTTTGGCTATATTCATTTTAAATATTGATTTTTGAGCAGTAAAATAAAGTGGAAGAAAGATAAGAGATAAACTCTATGATGCTAGACTTACAGAATTCTTCCAACTTTTTCTCAATTCATCCCTTTGAGGCCTCACACATCTTGCCAACCTGTAGTGGTGGCCCAGAGATTGGATTCAAGGTTTTAAAAAAGGTAATACAGTACATAGTCACTTGGGGAAGATCTAGGCTATAGGGAAAATTCTAGAACAAGAAAAGAGTATGTGGAAATATAGAGTTAGTACAGTAATGAGGTATTGGGTTAGATGTGAGACCATACTAAGGTGAGTATGAGAGCCATGTATAACTTATTTACCAGATGCCACAACAACGGCCTCACCTCTGAAAGTGACTCACCTAGTAGCATTTCCAGCACCAAATATTGTGTTGTATCCATCAAGAAGATCACCACACACCACAACCACCAGACCTATCTCACGCCCATTACTCACCCACCTGGACTTTCTTCTGGCTTCTCCCATTCCCCCCAAGCCCCCACCACCACTTCCTAATATAAAACAACCTCAAAATTCTGTTTGATGCTGGACATATAGGACAAGGTCAACATGGACAGGTTACAGCTCTTCAACCATGCACATTCTGTTTGATATTTTTTGGTAAATCTGAGGTAGTAACTCAACAGTGTGAAGCATTATGTATGACACTGTACTGTAAAATTATAGTGCAAACCTTATATCAGAAAGCTGATAATAAATATTTATTGTTGTTTCTGCCTCTTCACTGTCCATTGTTGGGATAGATATACAGTACAGTACAGTACAGTACAGTACAGCACAGCACAGTACACTACAGTACTGAACTGTAATGTAATGCATATGCAGTACAGGGTGTGGCAGAAGTTGTTTTTCTACTAAATTATAAGCTGATCGACTCACTACTGCACCCAACATGTTAAGATTAGTGCAGCCAAATATAAAAATTATTCTCAGTAGAGCAGTGTATGCCACACCCTGAACCCTACAGTATAAACTACTGTACATATTTTCTGAAACCTATGTGACCCAACCATTCACGTCAGTGGTTGTAATTTATGCATGAATTTGCGTTAAATGCAATGCATAAAGAACTCAACCATACACAAGCCTCATGATAAAAAAATCCATATGAGTTTGAAAATGAGATCCATAATTACTTCATATACTGTTATGGAAAAAATAAGAGTGGGTAGAGCTGATACAAAATTACTCCCCGTAGCAACAACCACAACGGTGAGACCACGACGTGGAGGAATCGCTGGACTACTGCAAAATGCATTCAGGCGTGGCAGCAGCAGAACTACAGCGAGCACACCGAGTCCAAACCTGCCTTTAAATACACAAGTGGCAGCTCAACAAACACCAATTCCTCACATTGGTCAACAGCAACAAGGAAGATACACCTCTTCTCCTGGTTCATCTTGTTTCATATGTTGACAAACTGTACCAAAGTTGATGACCAAGTGATGAAATGGATGTGCACACCAACACTCCCAAAAATTTGTTCATTAACTACAAATTATTGCAGCTTAATATTATTCAGCAATTTCCATTTACTGTACAGTACTTGTTACTCATATGTACCTACATCTCTGAAGCATTTTATATACAGTATGCAGTAAACCCTCGAAGATCCGGACCCGGGAAATCCGGATTTCGGAAGATCCGGAATTTTTTTTGGGGGGGGTTTCTGGCTAAGAAGCCTTCTAGAAGTTTCCCTAAGAAACATTTCTAAACCAGAGCAAAGAACATTTGAGACCCGTGGGCACTGCTTGACCCGTCAGTTGCTTGGACACAGATGCCCGAGGAGGTGGGAAACATAAACAAAGTTGACACTTGTTGTTTGTGGGAATATTATTTCATTCACTCTAGTAATGACACAATGTTTTTTATTTTGTTATCAAGGGTAAATGCTTGGTTTATATACGGAAATTTGTTTATCATTATATTAGTACTGTACTGTATTTTGGTGTTTCTTATTTCATTTATTACTCACTGGAAAATTCGGACAATCGGCTTTTCCGGACAGGTGGTTCCCCCTTTTAGTCCGGATCTTCGAGTGTTCACTGTACTACTAAACTGTATACAGTTTTAATATTAACAATTAAGTACAGTAATACCCCGCTTTACGCGGTCAATTGAACCCACGGAGGCCTGCGTAAAGCGGGAAATGCGTAAAGTGAACAACAGAACATATGGGATTAATTGAAATAGAGACCAGGCCGACCCCCAAACTCCACTTTTTCAGACACAATACCTACGTTGTAGTAAAAATAACTTCTTAATTTTATGATGGTATGCACACACAATTAATAATTAAGAGAAATATCAATAATATTAGGTTTTTTAACACTTACATTAGTAGAAAAGATGGCTGGGCACACGGGGATGGGGGGTTGGTTCCGAGGCAGAGGGCAGATTATTGGCCCTCACCTGTATCACGTGTATCAATTGTATCACTATCCATCACAGAGGCTTCCAGGGCCTCTTTGTCAAACCCCTCAAAGTCCATATCCTCACCATCACTGACTTGGGCCGGCGGTGGCGGGTGAAGAACTCGGTAATGTTTTGATGACTGGGCGACCTTGTGCGCACCCTGCCCGCGCCGCTTCCCGCGTGTATGAGTAGATGCACCACGTAAAGTGAACATTCCGGTTCTGGCGGGGTACCTCGTAAATGTAGAAACGCGTAAAAAAAAAACGCGTTAAGCGGGGTATTACTGTAATGTGTTTTCTTTAATTAACAATTTATAGTCATGTTTTCAGTGTGTATGTGTGTGTGTGTGTGCCTGTACACCTACTGTAGCAGGTGTTGCAAACTGTCACTCTCCTCTCCCTCCACTGTACTGTATACTGTACACACACTACACACTAGCCTACCATAGGCATTCACTGCCCACTCTTTTAAGTACTGTACAGTACTGTGTGTAGGGTACTTCAACACTTAATGAATGGACAGTAAAATATACAAAACTATAATCACTTGTTATGTCTTAACACTGTGGACCATAGATTCCAGCTAATGGGGATATTACTGTAAAGTGGTCCCTCGGTTTACGAATGCCTCGGTTAACGAAATTTCGGTTAACGAATTACCTTCCATAAGAATATTCACTTCGGTTAACGAATTCCTTCCATATTTTTCCCAACATGTTTTCGCCTGCTTTCGGCTGCTCACCAGCTGTAGTATTAGTCCGCCAATACAGTAATCGGTTCTAGGGCTTAAATTCGTTACCATTTGAGTAAATATCAAGAAGGTTGTACTATTCAATAATTTTCCAAGTCTTATATTAAAATTTGTAGTAATTTTAACAATTAATTAACATAATTGAAGGACAGGGAACTAGTTTTTAGCGCGCCAAACAGCCACATGACTCACCCAAAATGGCGTCAGTGTGTCCCTACTCAGTGGAGAAAGTATCTTGCTTGAGACTCTCTTGAACATAAACTATTTTTACGTTTTTACAGTACAATTATTGGTCATTCTGAAGTTTATTTTACATATTGACAATATATAATACAGTGCAGTGTTGATTTAAAGAAAATAATCTTGAATTACACCAAGTGAACTAAAATTTTATGGGTGAAATGGCGACATGAAGCATGGGGTGTCTTCTCTTCCACCCCACTACCTTCTCTTCTCCCTTCTCCTCCACCCCCACTTCTAATTCCCATCATCATCATCATCAACCAGGAGCCTTCTACACGCACACCGCACACCTCAAAGCAAGTGTACTTTACTGCATTTATTTTTACTTTGTATGTAATTTTCAGTGAGCTGGAACCAATTACCCAAAATCCCATTGAAACAATGGTTTCAGTTAACGAACGACCTTCTGGAACGAATTGCGTTCGTTAACCGAGGGACCACTGTACATATACTATACTTCCCTTCCTTAATGAACTCAAACAGAGGTTTAATAAAAAAAAAAAATTAATTCACAATAACATTATTTATAAAATTATTTATGTATTTACAAATAAGTAACAAATATATCAGACCATGAGATGGAACTGTATAACCAGATGCTGTGATCTATTTTGCAGTTCTGAGACATAATGAAAAATAAAAGAGCGCCTAAACATAAAAATGGACATCTATTGATCTGACACTAAAAACTGAGAGACAGATTTTGCATAAGATTGTTTGAACTTGTCATCCAACTCATCCTGCGTCAACCACTGATGTTCAGCGATATCCTCGCCAAGTTGTACTGATCCACTTGTATCTCGCACTTGACCCTTGAAGAAAAACACCTGAAAATAAAAACAATAATTAAAAAGCCTTTCTGTGGGAACAAAAATGGGCAAGAGAACCAATAGATCAAGGAAACTGCAATTAAAAATTAAAATAAGAGGATAAAATGTTAGAAAAAAGAGAGTAAAAAGAATGTATCAAGAAATGTTTTAACATTTACTAATGGTGACAGATAAAAGAAAATTTGCCCTGTTTAGGGAAAGGTGGACTGAATAACATCAAAAGCAAAGAAAAAAAATGAGGAGATGAGAATGTTTGTAAGTAAACTGAAGAAAGATATGGCATCAGGAACAGATGGAGTCATCAGTGAAATGTTAAGGATAGAAGATCGCAATAAAGGCTATGTAGAACAGAGGAAACACTATAAAACGAATGGCAGAGGTAATGTGTAGTTCCCCTGTATAAAGAGGAAAGTAATATGAAGGAGTATGAAAATGAAACATGTGCTTGCAAACATTATGCTAGTCCAAGTGACCTGACCTTTGATCTTTTAATCCCCAATATTAACTGGTTTCTTCCTTTTGCATATAAGATGCTTCAATCTATCTAATGAGGGTCTACTCTACTGATGAATCAATAACAAACCTTGGCACCAATGAATTCCTCTTGATGAACATTCTTTGGATATTTGTACTTGTAAAACCCACAAGGAGCATTACCGAGGAACTTTACTTGGAGGTCATCTCCACATGACTCTCGAACAACACGTTCACATGTCTGTTGAAAAAATAAGTAAATTAATAAAAACAAACTACCTTCAACTTGAGTATTTGAGGGTTTCTAAGACTTACTGGTTAATATGGTAAGACATGCTAACTTTAGTAAAAGTACAGAAAAAAGGAAATATCCTGCCAGAGCCTGAGCAACTGAATTCAAAATTTGCAAAACAAAGTGAACAAATACTGTTCAGTACATTACATAGGAATGTATTCGTTCCTGCTTAGGCTCGGTGGAATAGAAAACGAGCGATAACCTCAGACGTGTTTATGTATTGGTTGGGTTGGATTATTCTTCACCAAGTGTTTCATCTTCTTTTGGATGCTTAGGGTCTTGACACGTTTTGGATTGGCTGTACATTAATCCCTCAAGTTGACTCTGCAGGTAGTTCTTAAATAACATAGGAACCTTAGCAGAAGAATGCTCCTTTGAGAATAACATTCCTAAGAGTGAAGCAGGGAAAACTTTGCAATGCATTGCCTTTGGTATTGGCACAAACCTAGATGAGGCTTTAGTTTCTCTTGGTCTTTCACCTAATTCTAGGTCTACAAAAATCTATTTTAAGGCACTGAGGCTTGATAGGGATCTCACCATTCACTTGATCTGGTAAAGAAATTATCAGTTACATTTGCAGATAGACTGGGTCAATACACAGTCCTTATATAACCAATTAATTTTGGGAAATTAAGTTGAGTTAAATCCATCTTAAAATTTATCTACAGGTGATCTACTTAAGAATGTTCAACTTACAAACTTTCAGAGATACAAACATCATCACTGAGGGGGGTTACCTGCCAGAACAGGTGTTTAATGTGGATGAGGCTGGATTATTTTGAAGAAAATTCTAGACAGAACAGACATTACCTAAGAGGAGAAGAGTGATCCAGGTTTTAAGGCTGTATTAAAGGGTATAGCTGTACTAAATATCCATAATCTTTTCAGTTTTTATAATATGTTTGGTATCTACAAGAGTAAAGTTGGACTTACAAACAAGCCTCAGGAATGTAACATAAATGGTTATTTGGCAAAAAGTTAAATTAATTAATTTAATTGACCCAACTCTGGCATGCACTATGCCAAGTGGGAGCAAATATTAAAGGGAGGTACAATACAGTAATTCTTATCCAACATAGTACAGTGCAGTACGGTAGCTCTTATCCATCATATGACTAAGTCAATACCTGTCTTAAAGTCTCTCCTGGCACCCAAGGTGTTTGGGGCAGGACCCATTCATGGTTGGTTCCTAATTTCTGTTTCACCACAAGCACCAGTGACCTCTCCAGGGAACGACTGAGACTGCTTAGATCGTTGGTGTCATCAGTTCCTGAAATTTTGTATTTTCTCAATAACAGCCCAGTGAAGTCATAATAATTTGTGAAATACAAATTCACTCCTAAATTTGCGTGTACCTCTATTAATACTGGGGGTTTTCGTGGTCAAATATTCATAATTCATGGCCAAGCTGCAGCTGCTGCAGTGCTTATTTACATAAGAAACCATAAAAGTTGTGTATATATCATTTCAATGCTCTATTGTAACTTAGAAATAAAGAAAATATAATAAAAAACTATAAAATAAAAAACTATAAAATAAGAAAAATGAAGAGTGGGAAGTAAATTATGTGTGGAAGAGGCAGAAAGTAAGGCAGGTGGCTGGCTGGACTGTGCAAAAAATTCCCTCTCTCTGCTCCCAATGTCCATCACCCTGCGACTCCTTTATAACAATAGATACAATTTCACCAAAATTCCCAAACTATTTGGGTTCATTTGTGGCTGGGTTAATAAAACATTACCTGTACTGTACATGTATCAGACTGATGAAGCTAGCACAGATTTGTGGATATTTCCCTGTTGGAATGTGGAAATGCACCCACCCTAGTCACACTAATTTGACCAAGCAATTACTGTACATAATAAAAATAATTGCCTATAATATAACAAGGTTATTTGTTATAGAACTCAAGCCTGGTGGATGGTAGGATGATTGGAATGGATACAGAACTATCCCTGATGCCATACCATGTCACTGTCACCTTCCCCTGATGTGGATGCTGGAGCCATACCAGTAAAATAGTTAGATTATTTTCAATATTTTATTGGCATACAGTAACTTATTAAACTAAGAAAATATTGTACAATATAAAGTTGAGAGAAAAGTGAAGAAGAAAAAGTTCTATAAGATCCCAAAACTAAACACAATGCTAACACTAACCAGGTTCTGGGAGACTAGCTTTAAATGTCCTCAGCTCCTCCTCACATGCATCTGCAAATTCTACAGCTGTTTGTTTTGCTGCATCTTCAAGGTCTATATCCTCTGCATCACCAGATTTCAAGAACTGTGTTCTTATTAAGTCCTGTTCATGACGAAGCTCATGATCACTCTTAAGAGAGAGATTTTTCTCAACAGTAGCAAGCATCTGGAAAAAATATGAAGTACAGTAATACCCCGCTTTACGCGTTTCAGTTTTACGCGTTTCTACATTTACGTTGTACCCCGCCAGAACCAGAATTCCCACTTTACACGGTGCATCTACTCATATACGTGGGAAGCGGCGCGGGCAGGGTGCGCACAAGGTCGCCCAGTCATCAAAACATTACCGAGTTCTTCACCAGCCACCCACCACAGCCGGCCCAAGTCAGTGATAGTGAGGATATGGACTTATATGGACTTTGAGGGGTTTGACAAAGAGGCCCTGCAAGCCTCTGTGGTGGATAGTGATACAATTGATACAAGTGATACAGGTGAGGGCCAATAATCTGCCCTCTGCCTCGGAACCAACCCCCCATCCCCGTGTGCCCAGCCATCTTTTCTACTAATGTAAGTGTTAAAAAACCTAATATTATTGATATTTCTTTTAATTATTAATTGTGTGTGCATACCATCATAAAATTAAGATGTTATTTTTACTACAATGTAGGTATTGTGTCTGAAAAAGTGGAGTTTGGGGGTCGGCCCAGTCTCTATTTCAATTAATCCCATATGTTCTGTTGTTCAGTTTACGCGTTTCCCGCTTTACTCTGGCCTCCGTGGGTTCAATTGACCGCGTAAAGCTGGGTTACACTGTATATGAGTCTGTAGCATAATATACTATGACATGGACAAGGGAAAGTTTCACACCATTAAATACCCCCAGGAAAGCCTGGGTCACTGCAGCCACCTTCATGGAAGAGGTCTTATGGGAGTCATATAAGCCAACAACAATGTGAGAAAAAAACAAACAAACCATAAAAATAAAAATTTAAATGGTCAACTGTTGACCTCATGAGTTAAAATATCTGTTTTATCATTTCAACATGCTATTTTTTTAGTTACCAGTACAGGTACTCCTCAATTTACGAACTACTCGACAAACGACCACCCGGACATACGGCCGTATGTCCGCCTCAGTCGTACCAAAAATTTTCCAAATTAGGTCCGTATTTTCCAGTACCGAAACGTTTCCGTCCCGTACGAGAGCGTGGCGTAGGCTGGGCCGCCTCGTAGTGTACAGCATCCACGCCATAGCGCGCTCAGTTGGTGTTTGGCTTTTTTTCTGTGTTTCCAGTCAAATTATTGGTCACTTTGAAATATATTTTACATATTGATAATATATAGCACAGTGCAGTGTTGATTTAAAGAAAATAATCTTGAATTACACCAAGATAACTAAAATTTTATGGGTGAAATGGCGGTATGGGGTGACTTCTCTTCCACCCCCACTGCCTTCTCTTCTCCCTTCTCCTCCACCCCCATTCTAATTCCCATCATCATCATCATCATCATCATCAACCAGGAGCCTTCTACATGCACACCTCAAAGTAAGTGTACTTTAATGCATTTATTTTTAGTTTGTTTGTAATTTTCGGTGAGCTGGAACCAATTACCTCAAAACCCATTGAAACAATGGATTCGGTTAACGAATTTTTCGGTTAATGAGCAACCTTCTGGAACGAAATTCCCAAGCGCTTTCGTGTAATTTACATTTTCTGGGGTGAGTACAGACTAAGGAGAAATACTTGACAAGGCTTATATATACAGTAGAGGAGAGTGAGATCAAGTCCCTAGGGGACTGTAGGTGTCCACAATGGTCCAGTCATAAGGCAGTGACCCTTATTAATCTTCTTAATAAAAAAAAAAAAAAAACCAAGTGACCCTACTAATCTTCATAAGCACAGCAGCTGTCCGTAGTCAGGTCATAGGGTAAGATGACCCAACCTTCTCACCTGGTTACAAATCTTCTTAATCACAAATTATCCAGTTTGTACATACCATTACTCAAATTCATGTTGACGAATTCGGTATATTTAATGAGACTGGATTCTATAATGTTCCTACTGACAATTGAATTACAAGGCAATATTGAGGAGGCATTATCCCAGTCAATGCAATGCTTATTATCTCTCATATGAACGAACAGAGCATTGGATTCCTGGCCTGTCCTAACACTATATTTATGCTGTTTAAGTCTAGTTACAAGATCTTTACCTGTCTGGCCTAAGAAGAACATACTGTATTACATTCCTTGCAAGGAACCTTGATTAACATTTGTTTTACAGTGCATGAGTTTTTAAATGCCACATTAACGTTCCAGGTTTTCAGCTGTAAAGGAATTTGAGAGAATTTTTTGTGAAATGGTAATACTAAGAGATTCTTATGGTCATGGGTGGGCTTGGGATCCGTTCTATAAAAAGATTTCTTAGTAATGTTAAGGCATCTGTCTATAAAAGTCCTAGGGTACTTAAGGTTCAAGCCTAGGATTAGTGGACCTACCAAAACCAAGAGATTAACACGGTCAGTGACCCAGGCGGCATCCCTCTGTTCGTCTGACGTCACATGCTTCGATAGTAACATATCACAAAGTCGCCGAATAACCTGACTGTGACTGTGATAGATATATATATATATATATATATATATATATATATATATATATATATATATATATATATATATATATATATATATATATATATATATATATATATATATATATATATATATATATATATGCTGATAACCACAAGGAAAGAAGAAAATACGAAGTTCCCAAAGCGCTTTCGTGTAATTCACATCTTCAGGGGTGAGTACATATAATAACAATAATCAAAGATGGTTCATCAACAAATAGCATTAAGGTATGATAAACAAATAATATATACAGTACCTCAGAATATTGCTGTTCTATTGGAGTCAATGGTGGACAGACAACCGGTTGACGGGTGATGCAAGCAGCTCCCACTATCTGCCATCTCCCAGTAGCCCCTACTGTTGATAAACTGCTCTGGGATCCTGAAAAACATTCTCACTTGATTTAAGGTAACCCTGAAAGTTTCATTTGACCAACACTGGAGCAGGTTCAGATACATTCAGGAGCCAGTGTCTACCCAGTACTGTACTTGCCAACAGTGCGTAACAGAGATGTGACTTACCACCCAAGCATTTAACAAGCAGATCAGTGGGCAGTGGCAAAGAAGATAAAGTAAAGTAATGGCAGTGGATATTTTGCTGTGACCGACTAATTCCTACTAGCGCTATTTTACCGTGAGTGCGTTCTGATTGTCTAATCGTCCATTACCGGTGAACAACACGAGAAATATATTAGACCATGACTCATGCGGCATTTATTTTGCCGTAAGTCGATCGTTGTGTAGTTGTACAATAAAGATACCTAACCATATTTCGGTGAAATTTCAGTCATGCACCGGTCTTTCTCTCTCTGTTTTTTTTTTTTTTCATAATGTTTAGACGATTTTAAGACTTTTTTCTTCTATGATATTTCTGCTGTAAATTAAGGATAACCAGGATATTAATTTTTTAATATTATTAGATTTGGTCAGTCACAAGTGTCGCCATTTGTTGTTTACGTCTCACAGAGAAGGTCTGACCACCCATCACGCAGTGTTCCTTACCTCCATGTTAGCTTCTTAAACGTCTACAGTGCATGTGCGGGGGGTGGTGTGGGAGTTTCTTATTGGCTACAGCGATAGGAGACTTATAATTGGGCAAGAGTTTTTTTGTCTTAACCAATGAACAATGCGTGGGTGCGTTGGGAGCGGAAATTTCATTTTTCAGTACCAGAATAACCAGATACGGCTGAACAGGTGGAAAGAGCTGTGCCGACATTGTGATAATTATTTTACGTCAATTGCAGAGTTTCATCAGAAAAATAGTGTTAGGTTAGGTTTGGTTGGTATTTTATTTATGTGATTTACTCGTTAGGATGAATGGATTGGGGGTCTCAAAAACGATCGATTTCCGGCTGAAGTGAATATGAAATTCGTTTGAAACTCGTCAAATAACATCGTGAAAACATAATTTTAATAACCAAACAAAGACTGGTGCATAAGTGAAATTTGGCCCATATTTCTGTTGTCCAAGGAAACTTACATTATAAAACAGGCGACATTTACTAGAACCTAATAGAACCTGACCTAACCAACCAAAGAAACCTAACCTAACCTAGCCGGGGGGCCAATCGGAGCAATCACGGTAAAATATCCAATGTGTAAAGGAATAGCATCTACCTGCCTCAACACAACCACTCTAACATAAACCTTACACTACCACCAAAGACCTATTATAATATCTTAAATTTCAGTTTTACGTTAAAAATATATCCACTTACATATGAATACTGTATATATATCTTACTTGTCCGTAAAAAAGTTAATGTTTGTCGGAAATATCTTGTAAAATACCCCATCGTCTGCAGCACTGCCATGATGTGTGTTTACTATAGCCAATGTTAAAGCGACTAACGTCAGGCAGGTGGCCAGTTAGGTTCTTTAAATGAGAAAAATTCCACAAAAATTACTAAAACCCAGTAAGCAATAATATCAATTAATCTCAAATACAAAGGCTTATTGTTTAATGTTTTCTGGGTACATCTATAACTTCTTATATAACTCAAAGATTCATTAAAAAGTTTTATCCCTACATAAAAAACAGAAAGAAAGAATTGTTCAGTCCAAATGTCTAAATATGACCTGAAGTTTATTTATATTTTATTTTATTTACTCGTCCGGTGTTAGTGGTGGCCGGTAAGGGTGAGGGTCAGGTCAGCGTCACTCACCTGTCATTCCTGCGCCGGTAAATGGAAATAAACATTGGAGTGACAGCCGCCTCCAGGCCGCTCATTTAACTACAGTAAGTTGAATAACATTCTTTTGTCACTAAATCACAAAATGTTTTAATAATAAATAATACATTGATTGAGGCACCCTCAACAGTTTGCCATAGAGGTATTAGTGAGTCTACTGTATAGAAGAACGTTTCAGCCTCTGTATTTTTTGCTAATACCGTACTAATATATATATATATATATATATATATATATATATATATATATATATATATATATATATATATATATATATATATTATATATAAGGTGGATTTATAGAATCACACCGGTCTTTGTTTCCGTATTAAAAATATGTATCTCGTAATGTTTACACAATTCTTAGACACTTTTCTTCTATGATATTTCCACCGGAAATGAAGGATAATTGAGATATCAATTTGTCAAGATTATAACTTTCGCTCAGTCACAAGTGTCGCCATGATTTGGTTACCTATGGGGGAGGTGGTCTGTCCCCCTTCTCACGAAACGCTCCAGGAGGACGGAGCCCCCTGGTTAGGTTAGGTCAGGTTCTAGTAGGTTCTATGTATTGTCGTTTCCATTTCTGTGTTTAATATCATGCTAATAGTGTGTACAAAAAATTTAAACCAAATCACACATTTCCTTCTGTCAGGTTTCTGCTGCATTTTGAACACTTGCACATCTTGCCAGGTAGTCCATGTTGACAGATGAATCCTTGGAGATAGTCTTCATTCTCCACAAGCACAGATAACTTGTGATACAATACGAAATAGGATGCTATTTTCTCCTTCAGCCCTCCTTGAGGAAGAACATTAATAGTACAGTAATTCCCTGTTAGCCGGAATCTCCAGTTCCCGGAACTTTCCAATAGCTTGAATGAATTTTGAGCTTTCTGGGAACCTCTCCACTCAGGGCGTGGGAATGAGTTTCTGAGGATGAAATCATGCACATTTTTCAGAAAAGTTTTGAGCGGATTTCTCCATTTCGGGGATGGGAATTTTTTTCCATGAGTTCCAATAGTTTGCATCGTGCTCTTACGCATCCCCATGTGTCGGGCCTGTGAGTGGGCTAGCTGCTTGCGTAACTTAGACCATAAATTCATGCACTAAGTTCATAGTCTGCTGCCATTGAAAAATTCATTAATAACTGTATCCTGTGAGGTCAATGCTGAAATTAATTCTTAAGATACTGTAGTTACAGCCCCTGCCTCAGGCATACGGGTCCGACTAATTACCCAAATGTACCCAAATGTAGCCGCAATGAAGTCAAATAATGGTCCTACATGAATAAATCGGGTTACCAATCACTTCTCGACTAGTATTTGGTGTCACAAAGTAAAAAAAAATTGGAAAACGTAATTTAATTTGAGTTAATAGATCGAGTGCATGTACCTAACCTAACACAACACAACTCAGATTAAATTAAGTTTACCAATTTTTTGTGACTTTATGACACCAAATAATAATCGAGAAGTGATTCACAGCCCGATTTACGCTTGTACGACCATCATTTGACTTCATTGCGGCTACATTTGGGTAATTATTCGCTCCCTCGGTATATGCACGCGATCTATTAACTCAGATTAAAGTAAGTTTTCCAATTTTTTGTGACTTTGTGACACCAAATACTAGTCGAGAAGTGATTGGTAACCCGATTTATTTATGTAGGACCATTATTTGACTTCATTGCGGCTACATTTTGCTACATTTGGGTACATTTGGGTAATTAGTCGGACCGCCTGCCTCATGCATACTAATGGTAGCTAAACTTTAAGTACTGAACAGTATTCAGCAGATGTAATGCATCAGGTTTATCAAGTGAGGATTTTCTTCACACTGAGGATATTAAGTTACATCATGCTTGTATGCAATTAATTGGGTATACAATTTGTTGCAGATGTCACTGTTTAAGGCACGAGACTGGTGGTCAACTGTGGTGGAGGGAGAAGAGGGTAGAGAGGAGGAGTGTGACACTGGCTGCCTGGTCATTGGTAACATCAATAATGAAAATCCACCCAAAGACAAGATTGTTGTGGGAGGATTCTCAGGCACCCTCAGGGTTTTTTCCCCTCAAGTAAGATACAGTATCTCAATTCTATGTTTGTTTATACCAGTAGTAAAAGAAGTCTAGAGTGTAAAAATGGTAAGACATAATGATAAGTTTGCTTACTGCACTTGGGTCATATTTGGCTTGTGAAGAAATTCTATCCAGCCATTTATTACCTTAGTAAAGTTTTGCTTAAACTTTTGTGAAGTAGTTTTACAATAAATTTGTATTTTTGTTGTAATATAGTTCTTCCTTCAAACATAATACTATATTGTTTATAGTCATACCGAAGTGAGGAAGGAGAAGAGGTTTCTGGGTATCGTCCAGACCATGTGCTGCTGGAGACAACTCTTATATACCCAATTTTGCAGTTGGCTGTTGGGAAATTTGTCTCGTAAGTTTCTTATTTTGATCAGTTCACTTGTTGTCAAAGTTCGTATTGTAATGTGTTCCATGTTGGATAAAGTGTCTGCCAAAATTCACTGTGAGTCAATAATAAGTACTGTACATCTATTCTCCATTTAAACAAAACTTGAACTTAATCAAAATACTGTATGATCTTTTCACAGGAGTAATGATTTAAATCATCTGTGTGTCCTCCATCCTGACCGTCTTGTTGTGTACACCATCTCAGTCGCCTCAGGTCAGGCTGGCCATGGTGACCACTCTCGTCTGGCTGTTGCTTACCAACATAAGCTCCAGAGGAATGCACACTCTTTTATGACAGGTGAGATTTCCAGCTTTCTGTTGCATCTTAAACTTTTAATGGTGAGATTTTATAAAGCAAATGACATTTTTCGATGATTTGTGTTATGTAGTCAGCTAAGGCTGAACCCCAAACATACATGTTTCCTTAACCCTTAAGCCCCGGGTTAGAGTGCTGGTGGCAGGACCCCCCGGGGGTAAATTGAGAAAAATCCACTTTTCCAAAAATAATTTTTAACATTTTAAAATGATAAAACAATTAAATTAAGTAAGAAAAATTATATATTGCCCCTCTAGAAACTTTCATGGCCATGCAGAGGGAGGGAGGAGGGAGGGGCGGGGAGACAAGGAGACAGTGTTGGTTTGACAGCTGATGCTCGTAGTCCCTCCGCCCATACCCGTAGCAGCTATTTTTAACTCGCCTTTGTGTCCGAGGTGGCCAATAATGTATGTATTTACTGATCTTAATATTTATTTACTATAAATATTTCATTTAGAATATTTTATTTTCATAATTTTTCATAAAAAAGTGCTTGGCAACATTCACCAGTAGGTTGCCAGTCTGCCTGGCTGTCTTTGTGTTTGGTAGAGCAAGTAATGCATAAAATAATAATAATTCCACAAATAAATACATTTATAACATAATCATAGCATTTTTTTACAGTAATACTACCCTACAATACAACTACTACATTACTTTTAGCAATATTACTTTGATACAACATGATAAAATAGATAAACAATATAAATTAAACAAACAAAGGTAGGTAATTATGTTCAGAAAGCTTCCCTGTGGCCGAGCGTGTGGTGTGAGAGGCAAATAGTCACACTGGAACCTGATAACCTGTGTTGTGTATTTAAACAGTGGCGGGAATAGGCGCGCGTTCTGGAACGTCACCCGGGGCGCGCTGGTCGGACGTTCTGGAACGTCACCCGGGGCCTAAGGGTTAACAGTTTAAAGACTTCAACATCTTTTCCATTGATCTCTCAAGGGAGCTAGCCGAGTCTGTCACCCTGTCCCTGGACAAATGCACCCCATCCCTTGTATATAGGTCCCATCTGCTATAGAAGCTGTCCCAGTTGTCAATGAATGGAACTGATATTGACTTGCAATATCTGTCCAGGTGACTGTTGACACCAACTGCCCTGGACAACCATTCACCGCCAACTCCCCTTCTCAGCAGAACACCAAATATGATAGGGATCCCTCCCCTCATCTTAATACCATCTATAGCTGTCATGTGCTGTACTTACCAAGGCGCTCTTCACTCTTACACCGGTCAATAACATTGCCTCCTGCGCTGAAGTAGATAATGGGTTTGTTCCCATTACCAGATATGGTAAGATCCATCCTACCTACTATGTCACCCACCCCAGCTCCTGATAAATACACTGTATCCTCATCCTTCTACTCCTGTCCTTATTACAGAAGAAACCATCCTTGTACCTTACCCTCGAATCACCAACAAAATTGACAGGCTTTGTTGGAGGGAGTAAGTAGTTTGGATCTCCCAGGATACTTGATGATGATTTTTAGATCATAGAATATGCTTTTCCATGACAAGAAAATACAAACAGTAATAACATCCTACCTTGTCAGACTACTGTAGTGTTAGAAATTAAATACTTTTCTGTATATATTCAGTGTACAGTAGGTTTGAGGAAATTGACTTGTACTTATATTTTGCAGGTCCGTTTGGTGGTGTAAAGGGGAAAGAATATCTTGCTGTTCAATCCTTAGATGGTTGCATCACTGTCTTTGAACAAGAAAGTTATGCCTTTTCCAGTTTTCTGCCTGGGTTTCTGCTGCCAGGGCCTATAGCCTATGTTGCTAAGTCTGATGCTCTAGTTACAGTGAGCTCTGATTGGTGTCTTCAGTGTTTCAAGTGAGCTTTAAGATACAGTTTATATTTTGATCTGAAACAAAAAAAATTTTGTATTAGTCTCCTGTTGGTTTCTTCTGAGGGAATTATAAGGTTGCTCTCTGTTTGTCCATTTGTCCTTTCCTCAGTTTTCTGTTACCTTTCATTTCACAGAAACCATTGATTCATTAAACATGATAAAAGCTTAGAAAATAACAAAGAAATTGCATATAAGCGAAGATATGTTCTGAAAGTTCCATTTTATGGCTGAGTTTGATAACTAAGTTATCAGTTTTGGACCCAGGAGACTTTTACATTACTGGCCAGGACTAATATAAACATTGAGTAAGCATCCCTTAAACTACTATACTGTATATAGCTTTTTCCTCACATAGAGGTCATGTATGCTTCAATTCCCATTTATTTATGGGAGGATGCCATTCTATTACACGGGGGAAGGTAAGGTTTCAAGCTGACAAGTTCCAGGCTGAGCCACAGAATGGGATTTCAGGATCAATTCTTCAATAATGACCAGTTGCCCTTCACTAGGCTGCTCAAATATCTGATGACAGTGTAAAAGGGCAAGGAGGAAGCTATAAAAGCTGCAATTGGTTATATGGCATTACACCCCAAAAGCAAGATAACCCTATACAGGTATTTAAGTAATTTATGGTAATGGATGAGGATAACTTAACAAACTTCTCAATTCCACATAGTCCATCAGAGTAGTTTCCTGGTCCAAAACAGCTCATGACTGTATCAAGTGAGGATGAGGCACCTTTTTGTGTGATAGAAATAATGCACTGTATGTGATTACAGTATTTTGTCACAGTCAATATAAAACAGTCCAAAATGCTAAGTTATCACTGGTGTCAATTTGTTGATTCCTGAGAGATTACCAATACAGTATACAGTACAGTACTGTATTGTAATTGATATCAATGTTACCACTTGTGAACATTCAGGAATGCTTTACAGATACCAGGCTGTGGCTGTAGCAACTGATAATGAGAAGGACAAAAACAGTAGCAACAACAATAGTAAAGGAGGAAAGAGACTGTCACCTGAGTGGACGCAGCAGCTTGGAGAGCCAGCGCTGGACCTCTGTGTTTTGTCCCCTCCAGAGGGTCCCACGAGTCTCCTTGTTCTGACTCACCATGCAGTCTTCTGCTTTAAGGAGTCAGGGGTGTTGAAGTTTGTCAAGAAGCTTGAGTTCAACCCATCCAGTTTCTTGGCCTTTATTGTAGGTATGTTGGCAACACAAACACTTCTCCTTTGATGGTACCACACACACACACACACACACACACATGTAAACGAAATGGGCCCCAAAGTAAAAATGCATAAGCGCTCACAGTGGAAATTTTTAAATCCATAAATCAGTTTGCAGGGGTCTTATAGATCAATTAACTTTGAATAATAATAATAAAATCAGTGATGTGCTACTCTCATTGTCCTGTTTCCTGCACGAGTATTGTAAATAGTTTTCAGCTGGTTTCATATGTGGCAATACCTGTATTTGCTCTGTGATGTTGTAACATATGTACTCTGTGATTCATGCAGGCTACCAAATAGGCAAAGACTGTAGGAATCACTGAATGAAGTAAGGCATCTAATATTGTACTCTATATAGAAAATAGAACAATATTTTTTCAATAACATTTTAATTACCGGTAGTTCCTTCTTTGATATTCGAAAGCTACTATGAATTAATATAAATGTATGAAGTGATCTTACTTGTCACTACACTAATTTATTGTTTATTTTTATTTTTTTATGATTTCAGACAATTATGTGCATGTGTGTATTGCGAGCCACACAGAAACCTTGCTAGTATACCGGGAGTCTCAACTGAAATGGGCGTCACAGTTACCATTTGCTCCAGTTGCTCTTGCACGGGCCAACTTCTCTGTAAGCTCATTACTGTTTATAGTGTTATATACTGTACTTTTTTTTTTTCATGACTCAAAATTTATTTAGTCTACATGTTTCCTGGTACTCGGTGTTAGTTATTAGGATTACAATTGCATGACTGTAAGAATATTATACAGTGTTAGTAGAATATTATTCACAAGTACAGAACACTTGAATTTTATTTCACAGTTAAGAGTTAATGTCATCTCATATGGTTTTGTGTGAAGATAAGTTTTCCATCCTCTTTATCAATACCCTGTAGATGTCATCAGTGAATGTATGACCGTAAACTGGCCAGCTCCCCTAGATCTCCTGTTCTAAGTCTGAGTCAGAATTAATAGAAAAAACAACAACATTCCTGTCCTGATTGTGCAAGTTTTTAGAGTTAATAATTTGTTTAACTTATGTTAGTCTCATTGAGGCAACTGTCACCAGGACCACCATCATGGTCGTTGTAGTCTGATGGATAAGCAGTTAGTAACAGGTGAAATCTCAGGTCACATGTTCATCTCTTTCAAGCCATAAAATGGAATTTCATGAACAATAGTTTATATACTGTTTTTAAGTACATATGATACTACCAGAATTAAGAGTCGGTTAAAGATTGGATAGGAATAAAGATGTAGAATGATGATAGTGTTATGTGAGGTTTTACTCTTAAGTCTTTATTTCAGCCATCTTATATAATGATCCTGTATGACCATCTTTTCATTGACACAGGGCCAACGATTCTTAAGGGTAAGCAATAAGCATTTATCCATACTGCTAAAGGTGTCAGCTTTTGCTTAATATTACTTTCTTAGAAATTTTAAGATTTTGTGCATACAGGCACAATATTTGGAAGTTTTTAGTTTAGATTGCTACATAGTTTAGTAGTTTTTCATTTGGAAAGTTTAGATAAATAAATTTACTTTTACTTTTTAGTCTGTCACACTATGGTGAGCATGATTATTTAAATGTAGATAATGTTTATCAAAAAGAGCAAGTTACTGCTTCTCTAGTCCACTTGTATTGACAGCCATGTTGATCTGTAACCAGTTTTGAAATAGCAATAGTCAATGTTGGAAACTTCTTTTGGTTACAAATTCAATGTTTGGAAAGCTCTGAAACTTACCCTCAATGTTCTATCAGCTTACATTCTCAGACCAGTATCAACTTTTGCATGAGAAATATCTCCTTCTTAGCTGACCTAGTATTTACATTTGTTTATGGTATTTGACATATTGTTTTGCTTTATTCAGGATTCTCTAATTTTATATTCTACCTTTGCTAAGTACAGGTATTTATAGTTGGGAAAGGGTTAAATACTGTTAGTTTTCTTTCTGAATTGCTGGCTTTTGTGTTAAATTGCATCAAACTTTGATTTAGACATTCAAGTCATTTATATCTGTCTGGATGATGGTGCAGGATCAATAAATTTCAACCTCTTGTTTTTTTTATTCTCTCATTATGTGTTTGGCTTACTGCTCAGACTTACCTGTATCATCTTTATCACAGGTTTTCTCCTTCATTATATTAACCAACCTATTACACTGCAGGGCATTACTGGAGCACTTGTTATGCTGGGTGACTCAGGGCAGCTTCATGTGTCTTATATGGGTACCGATCCATCACTATTTGTGGCACCTCCAACAGAAACTCGTGAGATAAATTACGACCAGACAGATAAGGAATTGGCAAATCTCCATAAAATTATTAAGGCATCAACAAAAGATACAGGTATGTATTATTGTACAGTACTACATCATCATATTAATAGATCATCCTTAGGGTTAATCTAGGTACAGCAGCATCAAGTAATTTGCTAAAAATAAAAATACTGTAAAGGTTTTAACACAAAAACTGAAAATATTGTTTTTTCCACTGAGAACATAAATTGTATTCATGGTGTAACACCAAGAGTCATTCTTGGTTCTGCCAGATCTTGTCTTTAGGTTGGACCTCACAGAACAGTTGCCACTACATGTACTCCTTGTTCATGAATCTAAATTACATCCTTCAATTCTTTCTTTATTTGTTTATAGTTAATTCAGTATATTCATATTTGCACTTTTTTTCTTCACATGTATAGGAGCACTGATAGGCATGAATCGGGGAGATAGTGACCTCCTGGTGTCTGGAACTGTGGGGACACAACTGGAGATGTGGACAGGAAACACTCGGGTCCAGAATCCTGATGGCGGGGTTCCAGCTGTACCTGTAGTTGTGCGCCTCACTGCACACACACCTCTTAATACTGTTAGAGTTAACATTGCTGTCGAAAAACCTCTCAGTGTGACCCAAGACACCTTTGTTCTACGTACAATATGTAAGTTCCCCTTTGTTTTGATATGCTGTGCAGTACTACTAAGTTTTCCCCATCCTCCATTTTTTTATGAGAAATATATTTTGATTCTTTCAGTAATGGTGATAATTTAGTGTTGTTGTTATTGTTAATATTGTTAATTCCATTCAGCCCACCTGTCAAAGAACTCTATGATGTTACAGTTTAATGCTTTTTGTATCTCACAGGTGATACTAGTCAAATCTTGGTGAAATTCTACTTAGAGGACCCATATATACCTACCAACCTCTCTGTTAGCATTATCACTTCTTACGTAACTCACACGGGTATTCCTCGGATAATCACAACTAACGTAAGTACTGTACAGTATCTTGACATTTTTAAGTTAGCTCTCATGAGGATTAATAAGATCTGTAAATCATGAGGTATTTGCTCACCTCTAAGTCATTAATTTGGATTTAAAAATTTATTCCTTTCTTTATATTCTAGTTGGACCTGCCAATGAGGCTTGTGGTGAAGCCTAGCATGCCAAACAAGGAGGCCGACCATAAGGTCACCATCTCCACTAACAAAGATGCTGTCAGTCTACCAGAATTATTTCCAGGTACAGTATGTTGAATATGGTGTCTTGGGGTGGGATTTGTTTCTTAATTCTGGTATAATGATAAATTCTTAATGCAGCTGCCTCACATTTTGCTTGAGGGAATTTTTTATCAGAAAGTGAAAAAAAAACAGTGAATACTTATGATGGATGTGTGGAGGTTCCTACGAGAGTGTGACATTTGAAGGAACAATGTAACTGACAAATGACATTTATTTACGGTAAGCTAGGCTTGCTTATTACACCATGGACAAGAAAAATGTAATGCATGATTTATATGATAAGAGACTGATATATACTATACATTTAAAAAGTTGTAAGTTGTTTGTGGATAGAATGACATTGAAGGGAAGGGAATTCCATGTGTTCAGTAAGAACTACCTGTAAAGGAATGAAGGATGTGCATGATGAATCGAGGATGCAAGGTGGCAGAGCGGGAGTTACCACCAATTCTGACTCTCGGGTGTAGGGTGAGTGATGGCAGACCCACAGACCCTAGTCCGACTTAGGGAAGTCAACCTTAAGGGGGGTCTTATTGTATACAGCATAGGTACTCCTGAGCATGCTAATTCAGAATCTGTGGTCCACGATTCGATTGCAGGGTCATATTGACACTTGGAACATCTTAATTAAATTTGTTCAATGCTAATTACTTGCCAACTATGGGTATCCAATGTGCAATTTTGGTGTGTGTGTGTTATTCTGGAAATACAGTCTACTGTATACAGTATATATACTGTACATACTTTTTTGTTTTACTTTTGTGACAGATCTGGCATCAGATACAAGTGTTGGTACAGCCTTGGGCCTCCAATATTACAGTGGAGCTGACATCACCATTCTTTCTTCCCGCACTACTAACAGATATCGTTTGCAGTCAGACAGGTCAGTTTATATTTGGGTGAGAGTCATGTTATATATATATCTTTCTTCAGTTCTTCCATACATTGTTTACATGGAAATGTGAATTGAATAAACTTTGTTAATAAGGAGAATTTAAATCTGATTTTGTCCTAAATTCTGCTAAGTTGTCTTGTTTAGTTGACACTGTGTATTCCACCTCGAGACCGATCAGTTCCACATTTAATATTATCATTTATGGATTATTTCATACTCCTTTATGTTTGCCATGGGATATAATGGAACCCATCTTGTGATATGAGTCCTATAGATTCTGGTCTATTCATTGAAGGCAAATAGGTTGTTTCGGCTGTGGGATGACCAGTTTTTTATAAGGTTGAGTTACTACCTCATCCACAATGGGAATATTAGTGGATATTATGGACACTTTCCTTATTGTAGTAATGAAACCCATGCTAATAGTAGCCCTTGACATCTTCAAACCATTTGACAGGGTTTTGCACAGATTTTTCCTTGCAAACTTGCCTCTCTTAACATACAGTTTTCTTCAAATTTTCAAGATTTTTGCTATACAGTACTGTACAGTACAGTACTTACAGTGGCTCAGATATTTAAGATTTGTATTAATCAACGGTAATATGAAAAGTGTGTATCAGGACTTGACCAGATTATGTCTTAGTGGGTATTGAATGTTGTTATGGTATACTGTACTCTACTAGATGGTATACTGTACTATACTGTACTGTATGGTATACTCTACTGCTCTGTATCGTACTGTACTCTACTGTACGTACTGTATTGTACTGTACTGTACTCTACTCTACTCTACTGTATTAGGATATGACTCAGTAATGTAATGGCAGCAAGATAATTTAATCTTCTCATTTACAGCTTAGCAGCTTTATGGATTACCTTAAGTGAACTTATACGTCGTTTAAAGAGTTACTGGAGTAACCCGAACCGTCGTGATGGGGAGGAACTCATACTGGGTGTTGCTTCTTCACTTCCCACACATGAATTGTTCTTTGAGATAGACGCCCATTTTTTGCGCAGAAAAAAACATCGGGATTTAGAAGTGAGTTGGAAACACATATTTAGTTAAAATAGAAGTACAGTATATATTAATTTCAACATTTTATCCTGAAAGTGAAACAGAGATAAGAACCTGATAAGAGGAACTACAAGAGACCACACTGTAAGTATTATTTTGAATTAGTATGGAGTTGCTGAAACCCTTTCCAAATTAGAACAAAAATATCATTAACTTTCACTCCACTTTATATTTTGTTGAAACTACATAATGTAAAAATGTAGCATTAGCAATAACTTTGGTAACTAATGCTTAAATCTCTCTCTCTCTCTCTCGGTTAAGCACAGTTCATGATATTGTAAGCAGAATTAGCAAGGTGACTGTTTTATGGAGTGGTTTATGATGTAGATGATATTTTTAATCTATTTTCCCTCTACTGTAGTTGACAATCCCTGCCTGCTTGGATCTCAGGCACAATTATTTATTATTAGAAAATATGTATAATAAGAAAACCAGTAGTTATCGATTTGAGTTGAGTCTCTCATATGACTGAGCAACTTGTGGTGAAGTTATTATTGTTATTTTTTACCTTTTTTTATGGAACCAGCTTATTGTATTTGAAGAAATCTAACCATTATCTCCTAATGGATTAATTAATTATTAAAAGTATCATTAATGTTATTAAAACCATGACAGGCCCAGCTGGTCCAACGAGCAACCCAGTTTCGAGCTGTACAGCGTCGCTTATTGACCAAGTTCAAAGATAAAACTCCAACTCCTCTGACCAACCTGGACAACCTTCTTGAAGGAACCTATAAACAGATCTTGCAGATTACAGATGCCATCAATGATAATATTAGGGTAATGTTTGTTGTATTTTAGACTAAGTACCGTATGTACTGTACATACATTTACTCATATATGAAAACACATGTTTGGGCATAGGTATTGTATTGTATTGTATTGATAAATAATGTCTTCTTATACATAAGTGTGAAAATGAAAATTTGTGGTACAGTAGTCAAGAATTGTGTTGAACTTAAAAAAAAAATATTTCTCCTACAGTATTCAGTATCTTATTCCAGGCTAAGTAAAGTGGAAAATATGCACTAAGTCTTACAAGTTTATACTGTACTCTATAATGATATAATATACAGTACTGTACAATACTGGAATCGAATGTAAAATAATATACAGTATATATAAAAATAAAACAAATCCATTCATACTCATATCATACTGAGTAAGTTAGTAACATACATTATATGACCACCTTATGTGAGTCATAAATTAAAACCGGAGAAAATTTTGGTTGAAGGAATGTTTTGAGGACAAAGTTGTGTTGTTAGGAAAGGTAAATTGAAGTACAGTAAACCCTCATTTTAAGTCCAGATTGTGTTCCAAGGGGTGGCTTATACTGTTTAAGTAGTACATTTATAAATACATGATGTAATGAGAAAACAAGGACATGATATTACAGTTCACATGCAGCATCATTTTTACATTAAAGTGCAAAATTAAACATGAAAAGCTTTACTAGTTGATTGTTTAATAATTTAGTCATTTCAGGATCAGTCGCTTATTTTGACAGTACAAGGTCACAATTTTGTATATAACCACTGGTAGGGTCTGGAGAAAGATGGATGTCAGTTAAGTTGTGTGGTGCGACTGGTACTGGAGCTTGTGCGCCTCCAGACAAATATGCCAGATCATCAATACGCTCTGCTGTCCTCTGCTCTCTCACCCATTGTGCACCTCTCCATGGACCAGGTAACTCATGACTTTGTTAGGTTAATACAGTATTTAACAGCCTTTTCTGTAGATGAGATCACTTTGTGTTTCTTTTAAGGAGGTACAGTATAGGCATACTCCTTATACCACTGTTCTATAAGGGGTTATTTTATAATTATTCCAGTATAGAAGTTTCATCCCCTTACTTCTAGAATATCTTTCACCCCAGCTTTCCATCTTCTTCTTTGTCTACCCATCTTGTTCCTACCATCTACCTGTGAATTACACTTTCCTTACCAGTTTCCTTTGCTTCCAATTTTCTCTTTCCTCTTACATCCAGAGTCCATCCTTCATATTCAAATGCTAATGTCAACCTAATGATTCCTCTAAGCATTCCCAAGTTAACCTAACTTAACCTTCTTTTATTACTCTTAAGAATGAATTCATCACTGATTGTTCCAATTCTTCTCCCAGCTGTCAGAAACAACTCTTTACTTCCTCCCTTCCATTCTATCTGTTGAGTCTAATGTTTTTTCCTCCTTGTCATTAATTTACTTTCTTTCACATCTTCTATTAATTTTCTCCTAGGACATAGTCACCCAAACATTTTCATCTTCTCTCCTGGATCAACCATCCGGGCTTTTTCATCTACAGACAATACTTGACTTACCTCCCATTTGTGTCCTGTACAGTATTCATAGTTACCAAAGTTCCTCATCAGGATTCTACTTCATTTCCATCGTCATAAAATGGGTATTTATATCTCCTTCCTCTTTTTCTCTCAAGAATACTATCCTGTACTGTACTTTTCTGTGTATTCCTTTAGGATTTTAATTTTGTAGATTAAAGTGCTGGTAACAAATAATACATTCTCAGTATTTTTATGAAACTGAAGGTCTGATTTTATTGATTGCAGGGCTGGGAGGAGATAACTGATGTCAGTGTGACCTTCTTGTTAAGAACTGTGCTGGGTAGAGGCTCCCGTGATGCCCCTTCCACCCCGGAGCTAACAATGCCATCAGACACCACAAAGCTGAAGAAGCACCTGGGTCTCCTTCTAGATAAAGTGACTAAAGGAAGAGCCCAACTCACCCTCAAAACAACACCTACAAGTGCTGCTGGTATTTATTACTTTTTTATTTTAAATGTCTCTGTTTTACACTGAGAATAATAAAAACTAAACAAATGTGCTTTCCAATTTATGATGCTTTGTAAAATTGTACAGTACTGTATCTTCTAATAAGCTTTTAACAGATCAATTAAAAGTTACAGCTTTTTATGGATGGGATAATTGTTAATTAAATGATCCTCTGCAAATGAGAAGTTCTCAAATTTAAAAACAAAATCTTTGAGATATTAAATTATACCCATTATTGACTCATGTTGGGAGATAATGTTGTAATAGCCACAGATACACTTTAAAAGGTTCAAATCAGTAATTAATTTACTTCCCAGTGATGAGGAAAGATATTTTTTTGGCTCATTTCTTGTGACTTATCCAAAGGGAATTGATGAATAATATCTCCAGTCTATAGTGTCACTTCTGCTTTTCATGAACCAGTGACTGTGGTATTACTTTTGGGTCACTTGTTATCAGATACACGTGAGGACACAGTTATTGGAGATGAAGATGACAGGGTAGATTCCCCAGCCAAGGCAGAAGAGGATCCAACTGATGTCCCTCTTGGGTCTCGGCTGGGAGAGGACAGAGCCAGGTCAGCCAGGATCAGATCAGCTCGCCTCTTATCTGCCCGCAAGATTCCTGAACGCACGCCAGCGGATGGTGGTGAGTAAATATGCAGAGTCTTCTCACCTGTTCATTGAGAAACCATCACCATAACTTAGTATTAATATCCTAATACAGGAAGTCCTCGCTTAACGTCGTCCCGCTTAACATTGTTTCGGTACTACGTAGCTAAACGGTGATCCGATACTATATCTTTTTGCGTCGTCATAGACTACTTTCTACAGCGCATCACCCGCTCTTGTCTGGCCACGCTACGCTCTCTTGGCTTGGCGCGCTGACCTCACTCACGGAACGTCACAGCGTCCCCAAGCGACGCCGAGCCAGTCTTTGTGATGATTTCATAGCTTAAGTGGTTTTGCTTTAAAATTGTACTCTAACCTTTCGAAATGGCTTCCAAGCGCCCATTCAAGTGCTACTGATGCTAGTGTAGTGAAGAGGCAACGTAAGACCATTATCCTGACTACGAAAATGGATGTATTAACCCATTTTTAAAAAGGGGAACGTGCTGTGAACTCTGAGAGATAGGTACAGAACTTATCTGAGAAGCCTAGTTCGACGTCCTTCTCTCGTGAGAGTTAAATAACTTCTGAGGGAGGAGTGGGTCTGAAGAAAGCTTAGACAGCTTCTTTACAGACGCGCCCCTCCAGTGGAAAGTTACTGATCACATGTTCAATGAATGGACCGCTTGATCACTGCAGGACATCTCATTGCTCATTGGAAAGTTACCGTGGTTGATGGATTTATACAAGTCAAATGTAATTAACCCACATTTATATAATATTGCTGTCAACAATCAGACAGGGGCTATTAGATGATAGTTGACAATGCTCCAGCTCATCCTCCCAATCTCGATGACTTGCATGACAGTGTAAAAGTTGTATTCCTGCCTCCCAACACGACAGCACTGATGCAGCTTATGGACTAAGGCGTCATAGCCGCATGCAAGGCGCATTATTTATTCCGTACCGTGGCCCAGCTGCTCAAGGCTGCAGACAGAGATAATAAACCTACTATCCGAGAATATTGGCGTGGCTTCAACATTCTTCATGCAATTGACAACATTGGCAAGGCATGGGAAGAGGTTTCAGAAAGTTGCCTGAATGGTGTGTGGGGTAAATTGTGGCCCGAGTGCGTTAACAGTTGCATGGGATTCACGGACTTAGTCCCAGCAGTGAATAGGGATATCCTCAGTTTGGCTAGCGAGGCAGGCTTTGATGAGCTGGAATCAGAGGATATTGAGGACATCCTGGCGTCCCATACAGAAGAGCTCACCAATGAGGATTTGCAACAACTAACGAACACAGTCCTGTTGAAGACGAAGACGACGAAGAACCTCAACGAACGCTAACTACCAAGAGGATGGCAGAAGTGTTCAACATGATCCAGCAAGGTATGCAAATCCTTGTAGATGGCGACCCAAACAGAGAGCGTAGCTCAAAGATTCAACGCAGCATTGATGAAAGTCTTGGTTGTTACACTGAGATGTATAAGGAGAAGAAGAAGAAGAAGAGTAGCACCAAGCAGTCAACAGTGGATTCATTTTTTCGTCGCAGGACAGCAGAAGCAGCAGCAGCATCTTCACAACAGCCAGCAGCCGAGGAGGAGCAAACAACAACGGAAGATGAGATGTGACCGATCGTAGATGCGGCTAACGAGCCGATCAGTGGTGAAGAGAATAAAAGTAAACATCAACAGAGGAGGATCAAGCAGCGGCGGAGGAGGAGGAGGAGGAGGCAGCCGCAGAGTCTCAGTGACTTACTGCCCTCCTCGTCTGCTCCTGCCATCTGCTTCCTCAGCTTCACTACCCACCATACAATCTCTTTGCCACCTCCGACCATCGGTGAGTACCCATACAAACTTGGTAGTTGTATATGCATGCACTATATTCTATAGAAATAGCAATAATTTTCTGTATATGTAATATATTTCAGGCAAAGGGAGGCTCAGGAATGTAACTCCCATATTTTATCTCTTTTTTTGGGGATTAGCCACCCGGGCACAGGTCACTGACCCGCATCGGGGCCTGGGGGGCAAAAATGTAATAATAATAATAATAATAATAATAATAACAACAATAAAGAACCATAAAGAAATAAAAAATGAAAAAAGATCAATAGTGAGAAACAATATACAGTACTGTATGTATGTTGTGTTGTCAATGGTAAGAGAAACAATTGAAACCCTGCAATTGTGTTTAAATGAGGCTGAAAGTCAGATCAGCAACCTGGGACTTGGTCACAATTTTTGTGATGCCATATGGCAGCAGGGTCTATTAGACAACACATTATGCTTCCAATATCTTCCCAGGTGGTAGTACCTCCCTGTTTGATAGCTGCCTACTACCTGCTATCTATTTCTTATGGTGAAAATTGATCCGCTTAACATTGTTTCATATAACGTCGCGTTTTCAGGAATGTAACCCCGATGTTAAGTGAGGACTTACTGTGCTGTACTGGATTACCATTTGAATATTGACTTAATTTTTTCTTTGGACTCTTGCTATGAAATTTGTCCATCCACACATCCCTACAAATGTTGTGTGTGTTCAATAACTTGGGTAAGGAAACCTTAGATTGAATTGAATCATGATGTACAATTATTCATTTTGTCAGTAATATCATGGTTGAGTTTACCCGTTAATATTTTCTTTAAATATTTGCCACAGTTATGGCTCCTGTTTAATTGTCTAATTCCTTTCTGCATTTATCTTTGTGTCTCTCTAAACTCTTAAAGGTTACAGCATTGTATTTTGTTTTTTAAGTACTGACTGTAGTGGTTAGAAATATAAATACTTTATAATTTTAGTAGATATAGTAGCCAGAACAGAAATAAGATGATGGGAAAGATAAAATATAATGAACATTGTACTTTTAATATTGACCCATCAACTTGTAAATGAGGATCATTCTTTTTATTTTAGAGCCATCAAGTATAATTGATGATGCCCAGCCTACAAGTATGTCCTCTCAAGACTTGTTCACAGATGGGAACAGTGATGTAAATTCCAGAAGTCATGAGAATAGCACCAGTTTTATTCATCAGAGCAGTATTGGTAGTCTTCCAGATGACTCTACCACTGAGGACAATGAGGACAATGCTATACATAGTCCTAGTGGTGAGGAAGCTGACTCATCACCACCACAAGAGCAAACTTTGATTGAGTCCACAAAGATACTTACTGAAAATCTGAAAATTGTCAAAGACCCCATTAAGGAGAACATTATTGAGAGTCCAGCAGATATTTTTTCAGTAGATGATGGTGATGATTCATGGTAAATGCTACCCTGACTCATGAGAGCAACATGTACAGTCAAGTTGGTACAGTACATTGCTCTTATGATGTACTGTACAAAGCTGAATATATTACTATACAGTTTATATAGTGGTATAGATTATAAACTACAATTACTGAAGTTATATAACCAAAGAATTAAAGGTATGTCTCAGGTTTGGTTTAGAGTTACAGGAAAGATTACTAGGCACATTAAGCTCAAGAATAGTCACTCATTCACTGAGGTAGACCAGCCTGGAATGATGACAGTGCACTTACTGTATTATAATAGAAACAAAATATTTAAAATTTGTAGTAATATTATACAGTACATGTATAATGAAATATCAGTGTAATTGTCAAGGGAGTAAATTGCTTTGATATGTTCGCTACTAATTTAATGTCACAAAATGGATATCCTGAACTGTTGAAGCATAAAGGAAGTAAGATCAAGAATCTAGTAAACAAATCTCTCATTTTTCTTAAAGAAATTTTCATCATATGAATTCAAAGCAAATGGTCACCTTCAAACATAAATACTCTACATTTCTTATTATGATTAATTTGTTAGGATTCATCTACCATAATTTATCTTGCAAACCATGAAATGTTATGAATATGTTACACTGAAAATTCTAATTTTGGGGATTGTTAGAATGAGTCTCATAGATGTATTAAACCATTAATCATATTTAGTGATTTATCACTCAGTTTATTCAAAAAAGAAAGTTAATATATATTATTATCCCTCAGATCCCACTCAGGGCATTAAAAAACATAGCAATCAGTGTGTGTGTTTGTGTGTGCATCTGTGTCTTTCTGTACTGTAATCTTAACTTATCCTCTTCAACACTTATCAGCTTATTATCTGATCAGGTGGTTGGTAATTTCTGTTATATACTTTTGACAGGTAGTGGACTTGCACAGGTTTTTAAGTATCTCTGAGAATGTAACCGTGTTAGTCAAGTGTTAGACCTCAAAGAGTTAACACATTTGTGCTCTCACAACATTTTGTGATATATTATTCCACAATTTCCCAACTTGCTTTAAAGAAGTTAACTTGACAGTTTTCTGTGTTGATTGCTGCTTTAACCTGAGTCTATGACCTGGCATGGAGTGGTCATCAGCAAATTCCAGATATGTACAATAAAAGAAAAAAGTCTTTAAGTGAAATTTGGTGAAAACATGCCGAAGGGTTAAACTTTTGGTGCGCTTTGCCTTGTGGTCGGGCTCTCATAGTGTTTCACGAGTTATATTTAATCTTTGGACAAAACCACGACAAAACTTTTGTCTTTGATTGTACATATGATTTGAATAGTGCCTATAGAGGTACTGTACTTATATACAGTACTGTGTTTCCATTAAATCACCCCTTTCTATGTCTAGTATAAAATAGGCAATTGTAAACATTCTAGTCTGTCCTAGTCATTGAGGTGTCTGAGTGTTGACACCAGTCTGATACAAGTTCACAGTTAAATGGCATTCTTTTACTTATATACAGTAAATGAGAGCAGGGGTGTTGGCCCTTAGTGGATGCAGTTCTTGCCTCCTGTTCTAAAGATCATTGGTTTGTGCTCAGGGCTTCTCCAGTAGATTCATCTGTAATGGTTACCTGATTAAATTGGGAAAGTGAAGGCAGTCAAGTGCAGCACTAGCCACACTGCACTGAATAGACTGTGGGGGTTATGGGGCCCACTCATCGATAATCTTCCAATATTAGTATAAACCATGTTCATGTAATTTTCCCACAGGAGAAAAGGGAAGGGGTGCAGGGTCAATTTCAACCATAGGAGATGGGGATATAACAGTGGAGACACATTGACTCCTTTTAAATGATTTTGGTGTAGATCCCTGGGGCTTTAGAAGCTTTTGAGTAGGTGTAGGTGGAGCTTTAGAATCTTCTGAGTAGGTGTAGGTGGAGAAACTCATGATAACCTGATCCAGACCTGAAAGATCTTAGATACCCTTTGCAATTGGTGCTGAAATTTTTAAGTTTTGTGATTCTGAAAGCTTTTGAGATCAGGGAGTAATTCTGAGCCTCATCATCAATGTTTAACAGCCATTTTCCATACAGTACTTGCTTGGGATAGCCGAGAATGCCTTATGGCATGGTTTGCTTTCAGGCAAATTTGAGGCAAGGTCTATGGCTGGATGCCCTTCCTATTGCCAACCCACTTTTAGAGTAATAACTAGGCATTATATGTAAGACTTCCAAATGGTCTCTTAGCTAGCAAGGCAGGGTTGTAACTCCCCAAGTTACCTGCCTGCCTGTGTAATATCTGACCCTAGTGATCACCCCGGGTCAGCTTAGTGGAATGGTACTCACTGGTTGCATTCCAAATATTTTTTTTCATGTGTTCATTTGGAACTCGGAACTCAATTTATTATCACAATGTTAGCGTTGATGGTTAGGTTCATAAAAGCCTGTTTAAGCCATACTAAAGACAAAATATAGTATTGTACTGTACAATTGTAATTAATATAAGACCAGTGTGTAAAATCTGGTATTGTAATTTACATTGTGAATATGTGTTTGCAATTGCAGCACTATCAGAAAAGGCAAACAGTTACCCCGATGGGTAACACTCAGTGAAAACATAATGCATTCTAATATTATTTGAGTTTTCCTAGCTGCCCACCAAAGCTCATATCAGTTCTTTCTCTAGCTTTCCTCTTTTTTGCAGTCTCCTATATGCGTTTAGTGAAATTTTAGGCCCGTTATATCTGGAAGACAGCCTGGAAGCACATGTGTTGGTAAAGCTGCCAAAGTGACCAAGCAAGAAACTTAATTATAGTATGGATGTGAAAATACAAGTGATATGGAAAATTGAGGCAGTTGGGGATTGATGGTAAAACAACACAGCAAGCTACAACAAAATTAACTGGTGAGTGTTGATTAAAGTCAGGTTTAAAAAATATTTACTTAAACAATATTTTTATTTTACTTATAAAAAAAGCCTTAATAACATCTGCAGAGCCATTACCGTTATGCAAGGAAGCCTTCTTGTAGCAATTATAGAGTAAGAATTTCTATAGACACCATGTAATATTGACATCTTTTAATGGTTTAATGGCTTAGCACACACTCCCCAAGAAGGTACCCTTTCTGTTACAAGAGGTCTGATTGTATACTGGATCTCTGGTATATTGACCACTGCCTTTTTCCAGGCTCTGCCATAAAATGGTTTTTCAGAATAAAACCATTTTTTTTTATATTAATGCTTACTGGTGCACACAATTCATATATCCTTGTTCCTTTATTCTTGCCTAAACAGTTTGTGCAGGTTGCCAATTACTAGTGATGTGAAACAAATAATGCATGGTTACATACCTTACCTCCACCCTATTCAAGAATTGAACCTAGGTCCTCTTGCTTGCAAGGTGAGGCTGCTAACCACTACAGGACATCAGTTTTGCTACCTGTAGTAAACTGCAGTTGATGTTAAACTATTCAATCTGCAACTTCATAATTTTTTATGTATACATCAATAAAAGAGGCTGTATGCTTTATATTTTATTAACAAATAGTATATACGATACTTTTTCTTATACAGTACTAGTTTAACATAGTCTTACCATTTCAAATTTTTTAGCATACCTGTATTTATTTTTTCTCGGGGAGGAACATTAAACAGTGGAAAGCAATAATGTACAATGCAAAGTACAGTATTTGATATTCCAGCACTGAGAGTAACTGAATAATGTAAGAAGAGGTTTTGTTCAAGATTATCCTTTTATTTTTATTTTACAATTTAAAAAAATTATTACTAATAAATCCCAGCTATACACTACTCTTCAAAGGACATAAAAATGAGCTTAGAAAAAATTTGGGATGACTTCGGTCTTTAGATGAGACTATATTTGGGTCAGTAATATTTTATACATAGTATATATATAATCATACTCGTGTAGATTACATTTGTTCGTTTTGCTTTAAGAATCAAGGAGATAATTAGGATGTACAACAAGCGTTGGGTCTTCGTCTTCAGCCACTGATGCAGTGCCCTTGAGTCCACTACGTGTCAAGGGGATAATTACTTGATCCTGTGGACATAAAAGGTGGTGAGCAAGGTAATGACAAAATAAATAACTTTTTATGAACTCTGCCCATCTGAGAATACACAATACAATTCCTTTAAATGGCTGAGAGTCATGAATGGGGAACTTTTCACTTAAGAATATTAACCATCTACAGTAGTTTCAGTTTGAAGAGAAAGACCTTATCAAAGTACCCTGTTCATCGAAAGTGTCATTGTATACTATTTTGTCCAAGAATTCAAACTAAAAGCTCAAAATTGCACTAACCCTGGTCCCCTTAGGCTCATCCTATATAACCCTAGTGGGCTGGATAGAGCTACAATAATGGAGACATAACTGAACATTACCCACCTTTATCCATTTTCACTGTTACAATATAAAGCCTCCGATAACAATGGTTCGACCAACAACTTTCATATTTAAAACCCTAGTTAATTTAGGACCCAATTCAATTTACGTCCTTATTTCATTCGTATTTACGACGAAAATATAATAAAAATAAAATAAAATTACATTTTCATATAAATAATAACAATCCCGATATGTACAGTACAGCATTATAAAAACAAAAAAATACTGTAAAAAAAATGAAGAGTGCCTTGCACAAAGAAGCTGCCTGGCTAATGGGTGGTAAACAACAGTTGGAACTTGGCACGCCTTTTGTTTTCACGCATCTGGAATAGGGAGAAAAACTTTCTCGAGTTTCTTACAGCATTTTTGCATCCCCATTCAACATGAGCAAGAGAACAGGTGATGGTTGTGTTGGTTCAAAAGCTAATAGAACGTGTATAAGCTTAACCGAGGGACCACTGTAATTGAATTTATACCTTCTTCAAGAAATGTTGCCATTTCTCATTTTTAGTTCTATACAGTGGTCCCTCGGTTAATAAACAGCCCGATTACCGAAATTCCGGTTAACGAATTACCTCCCATAAGGATCTTCAATTCGGTTAACGAACAAAACTTCGATTAACGAAATCCTTACGACATCACGTTTTGTTGTGAGCATCAGCTGATGGGCTAGTCTGCCAATTCAGTAATCTGTTCTATGTTTTCATTCGTTTCCAGTGGAGTAAATATCAAGAAAGTTGTGCTCTTTAATATTTTTGCATTTTTTATATTAAAATTATTAGTCATTTTAACATTTATTTAACAAATTGATAATATATGCAGTACAGGGAACTAGTTTTTTGTGTGCCCATCAGATGCTTGACTCAGCCACCAGGGGTTAGTTGGGCTTTGTTGACAGTGGAGTGAATATCTATTTTGTTGGTGTCTTCAATATTTTTACATTTTTACATTGAAATTATTGGTCATTCTGAAAATTAGGTAACATATTGATAATATATAGCGGAGAGCAGTGTTGATTTAAATAAAATAATCTTGAATTACACCTAGTGAACTTAAAATTTTATTGGTGAAATGAGGGCATCAAGCATGGGTCCTCTGAAAGGTGATTTCTCCTCCATCCCCACTTCCTTCTCTTCTCCTCCACCCCCACTTCTAATTCCCATCATCATCATCAACCAGGAACCTTCTACATACACACCTCAAAGTAAGTGTACTTTACTGCATTTTTTTTACTTTGTATGAACTTTTCGGTGAGCTGGAACCAATTACCCAATATCCCATTGAAACAATGGATTCGGTTAACAAACGACCCTCTGAAACGAATTGTGTTCATTAACCGAAGGACCACTGTACAGTACTTGGTCATATACATTTGCCTGAAAGTTTTTCAGGAGCAGGGATACTGGTTACTTATGAAAAACGGGCTACTTCAAGGATATGTAACATCACCACGGTTGTTGATTAATAATTCCATGAGTGTTGCAATAAGAGGGGTATAAGGATGAGTGATGGAAGTTTGGTGAATAATAATACAGTACAAGAATTATACAAATAACTTACATGATATGTCAGTCTGTCAAGAACCTTCTCAACAATCATCTTCTTTTCTATCAGTTCAGCCTCCGACTCAATATCGCCACTGATCTCATTTAAGTACCAGTTTATAATAGCTGATCTTTTCAAGCCAGCAGTCTCTGATTCCTCCTCCTCCTCCTCCATGAGGTTCTCCTCCTTGCGCATGTGCATCACCAGCAGGTTGGACATGCTGCGGTACGATTCGTATGAGAGCTTCATCTTTTTCTTCTTGAGAGCATCTGAAGTTGCTCCATCTTCATCACCACCATTTACACCTACAACACCGATAAATAATTAATTGTAGTTGACCTCAGATTTACCTCCTTAATGATATCTTTCCTACTATAAAAGAAAAGGTAAAGAAACACATTGATAAAGAATAAGAAGAAATGAAACAGATTAAGATGATGATGAAGTAAGGAAGCATGACTAAGAAAGAAGAGTAAAGGATAAAAAAGGAAGACAAAGAAAGGAGAGCAAAGGATAAAAGTTACTGGCAGTATGGTCATCTGTCTCCCCTCACTCACCAAACTGCTGTAACACTTCCAGTTTTACATCCAAGAGTGACATTGTGTAGTCAGAAAATACTGAGACTGTGAAAATCAAAGAGTCCACTGAACTTAAAACAATCAAAGTTCACCATGTGGTCACATTCAAAATACAGGGCATTGAAAATTTACCTATGTCTTTGTTGTTAAATTTTGTTTGCCATATTATCCCATATTTAGAGGTCATAATTTACAAGTTCTGTATGTGTGAACTTCTACAACCAGAATTCCTCTAACAGAAGGATGACCAGACAAGAAATAGCTCTAGATTACAAACACTTATGTGGATGCAACATACCATTAACTTGACCATTGGGAGCCCTGTTCTCATCTGTTTCCATGGGCTCATCTACTTCCTGCTCCTCCTCATCATCCTCCAGGTGAACATCTGGTTGTTCCACACGAATGATGGACTTGTTAAGCAGACGGAAAGCTTCTTTAACGTGCTTTGGTTGGACCTGTAAAAGGGTTGTTATCCTACTGCACACTGAATACAGTACAATACAGTTAAGTATATCCAAATATATGCAAATTAAGGATATAAAATTAGTGCTAATGATCCTGAAACCAGATACTATTATTCCAGATGATCAATGTGTGCTCCATGTAAACAAAATGCCACCAGAAATAGATGTTCCCACCTCATCTGAGCAATGCATTCTGGCCATCCCCTCAGACAATCGAATCATGGACTCAAGCTGCCGAACTGTAATGCGCCATGATGATTTGGCAGCTCCAGAACAGTCACGCTGGCGAAGATTGCGGTACTGCTCTACAAGATACTCGCTAGCTTCCTGGAAATACATTAAAACAATAAAAATTGTACATCACACCAAAAGAATCTACCTGGTTTCACCATCATTTTGACAATACATGGCACATTTGCAGTACCATAATCTCTTAATTCTACCTAATTAAGTCTTATGAAATAAGTAACTTCATATTTGCAACACTTCATTCCCCTAGAGCAGGGGTCACCAAACTTTTTTCACAATGGGCCGGATAACTGAAAGAATGACGAGCGCAGGCCACATAATATTTAAATTGTATCACAACGTCTCGTGTTCCATACGTTTTATCAAGCAAATTCAAGTACCGTCGGCGGGCCGGATTCGGCCCGCGGGCCGTAGTTTGGTGACCCCTGCCCTAGAGTGTTACCCCCTGAGGTGGCTGTCACAACAGTAGAGCCTCTAGGCTGCCCATCAAAATTTATCTTCTTCACCCTTTCTATTCCTTTTATCCCTTCCCCAATCTTTTTATTTTACAATTCCATTTATCCCTCAAATAACTTGGGATCTACCATTATGTCACAAGTGATGTTTTAAATTGTGTTGAATTCTTAAAACAATTATGGTGTTCATCCTTCAGAAATAGGGCCAGAAGGGTAAATGAAGATTAAATCTCCTAAAATAAGGAACAAATGCTCACCACTGCATCACAGTAAAGACCAAAGGATCCAGGCTACAGGACAATAATGATGGAAAACACTGATTACATTTGCAACCTTGTGATATACAGTAGTATATACAATCCAAGTTTAGTTAAAACTCATTGTAATCTATGACTTGAGTTATAATGCCACAAAGTCAGACACACAAGCAGGCGCACACATTATTTCTATTCCCTCCCAACACAGGTGGTGGGAGATGAAAAAAAAAAAAAAAATCACAACTTGAATGTAATATAAATTGCAATGCAAGTTTTTTTTATTAATACTGTTTTTTATAACTATAATGGATTTATTTGTTGACAAAAACACATAAGCAATAACTTCTACAATTCTAAAAACAATATCAACTTGCCTTATTAACTTTTGGTTTGAACTGACGAGCAAACATGATATAGCGCTGAATTTCCTCAAGAGCATACGTTCTGTCAATGCTCTCTTCGTTACGGCTGTGTAAATCAACAATTCTTCGTGCAATTGCATAATCTGTTACCTGAAAGTCATGTGGATATTAAGTCTCAATTTACAGTAAAGTGGATCAGTTACATTTTAGAACCATAGTAACATACTATGACAATGACAAAGCTTAAAAGTCCATGTACTCCCACCTTCATGCAGATACCAACAGAGGACCTCTAGATATTCAATGTACTGTACAGTATTTCTACCTCAGATAATCAATTTCATCTGTTGAACAAACCATTAAAGCAAAAAATACATACAGTAAATCCAGCCTAACGTTGTTTAGGTACTACGTCGCTACTCTTTAGATACCAATAATTCATTTAACGTCCCGACGACTCAATTTAAAGTCGTTTTTGTGTCGTCACGAACTACTTATTATGGCACATCACCCTCTCTCGTCTGGCCGAGCTTAGCTCTCGGCTCGGTGCGCTACCTCTCACTAGCGGAACGTCACAGCATCCCCAAGTGACACCAAGCCGGTCTCTGTTAAACTTCCACATCATTCGTGTGTGCTTAAATGTTTTTGCTCTAAATACTGTACTCTAACCATTCGAAATGGCTTCCAAGTGCTAATGTTGTGAAGAAGCAACAAAAGACCATTAGTCTTGCTATGAAAATGGAGGTTTTAAACTGGGAGGAGGAGCCACCCGCCGGGTCTCAGTGACTCACCACCCTCCTCCACTCCAATACCCACCACACACTCACTCCACCACCTCCATCCATCAGAGAGTACAATACAAAATTATTGAGTTTACTTATATATACAGTATACTATTTTCTATAAAAATGCCATTGAATTTCTGTATATGTACAGTAATGTATTTCATGAGGCAAAGGGAGGCCCAGGAACGTAACTCCCATATTTTATCTATTTCTTATGGGGAAAATTGATCCACTTATTTTGTATAACGTTGCGTTTTCAGGAACGTAAACTCGATGTTAACCCTTAGGCCCCAGGTGACGTTCCAGAATGTCCGCCTATTTTTTCATTTTATTTATTTATTTGTTTTGTTTTTTATCATTTTGGGAAAATTTGTTTTTTTTTCTCGATTTATCCCCGCATGGAGGAGTTACTAACAGCAGCACCCTAACCCAGGGCTTACGGGTTAAGCGAGGCCTTACTGTACTGTACTTCTTATTTTATCAACAAAGTCCCACAAGGGAGTCCATAATATCCCTCTCGTGGTTTTTCGCACTAAATTAACATCCCTGTGCTGGCACAACCCCTTCGTCTCAGCTGTATCTCACACTGAGAGCACCCCTCTCATAAGCAGAAATGCGGGAACAGTGGACCAGCTCTATCAACCACACGAGTTCCTCCCACTAGCCTGGGCTGGTAGATGCATCTCTAAGGGTGCAATTTGGTTCTGGATCATTCTACCCAATAGAAAAACGTTCCTGTTACCGACGGAACCTGTGTCGGAAGACTGCGAGGGGGATGAGATTTCCGACCACATCCAGGAATACCAGAAGGATATTTGGTTCCCTTGCATATCCCATTTTTGCATCCTGCTGTAACATTGTCATCCTTGGTTAATTAATTAACCAGAACAGCTAGGTTCTAAATTTAACATTCTATATACAGTAGCTAAAGGATTTATGGTAAGAATAAAACAACTTACCTCATTACATTCATCCACAAGAATAAAGAAAAGATCAAAACGGGACATGATGGGAGCTGAAAGTGCAATATTTTGACGAAGAGACTTGGTTCGGTCATAGCGGCCACCAATAGGGTTGGCAGCAGCTAAAATTGAAGTACGAGCATTCAGTGTAGCTTTTACACCAGCCTGGAAGATAAGAAAATAAAAGTTAAATGAAATCAACTGATGTTTTAAAAACTAGCACCCAGTCTCCAAAACCACACAAAACTTGAAAATAAAGGTGCTTTTGCAACCACACACAAGTTTCCTCCAACCTTAACCCTTAAACCCTGGATGATGTTCCTGAACACCTTACTTCGCAGCATATTTTGAATGTCCAGGCGGGAGGAAATACTCTGTATGGGATATTTGTGTAATTGGTAACCCAATTCCTATGTATCTGTCTCAAGACTTGTGCCTCATAGTCAGTTACCCGCCAGATATTGTGAGGGATGCACGTCCTTAGATCTCACTTATGAACCACCTTACGCCCCCACATCCAAGTGTAAGTGAAGGCATTTGCTTGACAGCAGCGCTGTTTGTTAAGAGTTGCTTGATTTGAGTGGCATTGATACAGTATTGGGTGATGAAGACAATGATAGTAAGGAAACAGTACCCAGATGATGTTGATTTTGTTGAGGTCTTTGAGGACAGTGATGGGCTTACAGATTGGCGCTCCTTCCCGTTACCACCGGTCACTATGAACCACGATGCCTAGGTGTTGCAACTTGGTGCAAGAAGTGTGGAGTTGCCTTGTGCATTCTATGTTCCAAAGACTTCCACACAATCAAGAAGTTCTAAACTCAGTAGAAGTACATGTAAATAGTATACCTGTACAGGGGGTATATATATTTGAAAATAATTATAAGAAAATGGTGTTAAGTTTTGTGCTGCCAGAATATTCCCACTGTTCAGTATTTTATAGTTCTTTTGAGGAAAATATAAATATTTTGTGTTTTGTAACAGCTATAAGATAGAAATATTATATAAAAGTGCCTTCAAGTAAGAACTGTGCTGCAATTGCGTATCAAATTTACGTCCCGCTCGCTGTGGGCTGTACGCAGCAGCTTCAAACAAGTCATCTTTAATCGCTCCACACTGCTCATAACACTCCAGACAACTCTCCAAACACGCTACAATGAAAGTTGAATGTAAATATATTTTTCTGGTATTTTTCTTATATTGATTAACCCATTTTAAGGTGACTTTTTTTTTTTAACTGAAATACAGTATGCCCGCATGGGGGTTTGGTGGGTCTTACAATGCTCGGGGTCTAAGGGTTATGCAAAACTTTAGTTTTTACTAAAGGTATCTTACCTTAGTAATAGAAATGGTCTGCTGTTCCATGGCTTCATGAATGGCAACTTGATCTCTGAGATCCATTTTGTCAAACTCATCAATACAACACACTCCATTGTCAGCCAACATAAGAGCACCAGCTTCTATGACAAACTCATGGGATTCTTCATCTTTAACCACAGCTGCTGTTAAACCAGCGGCAGATGATGCTTTACCTGAAGTATAGACAGCTCGTGGACTGAAGTCAGCCACCTGCAGGAAAGAAGTGCAGTTTAAAATCAAAAGCATGGTGGTAATACTATGTATAGTACTGTACTGCATATACAATATACAGTACTGTACTTCAAAAGTACATCCACTGTAGAAATTGACTGGAAAGCATTTGCTTTATTCAAGCCAATATCAAAACTACCAGCAATTTACTATAATACTGCATGTATCCAAACCTAAATATACTGAACTGTACATTACTTTCTTTCGGAACATAATACTGTAGTTCAATTCACCAGTTAATATTACTGGAATTCCTCCTCCCCCCCAAAAAGGTAACTCAATCTGCAGAAATGAAAGCACAGAATATAATCTACTAACCTGCTTCAGGAACTGTGATTTAGCAGTTGATGGATCACCAACAACACACACATTGATATCACCACGAAGTGTTGTACCTTCCATTGTTGTCTTGGGAACCCCTCCAAACATCATCAGTAAGATTCCTGTTTTATAATATTCTATAAAACACTGGACACAGAGATTTAACTTTAAACAGGTCAAACATTATTGATACAATTACATACAGTATTTACAATTGGGTTACTGCTAAGATGAGACTTAGTGAAACAAGAATCTGATATATATTGAAAAGTTTTCAAGTCCTGGTACCTGGAACACTCCAAAAACAGGCAATGTTCCAAAATGAATGGCAAGTAATTCCCGGGCCAAGCAGGAATATTTCCAACTGTTCTCCACTTGAGCTGTTAAGATAATTTTTAAACTATAAATTTGGGTAGATATACAGTCTCTCTTCGACTTACGACGGAGTTCCGTCCCGACGACCAGGTTGTAAGTCGAAAATGAAAAAATAATACATAGGAATTCTAAAATGGGTGTCTCTTTTTCTTCTCAGCACCACGAGAACTCTCACTTTTATGCTTGCCAGCCATTTTAAAGTGAATTACAAACGAAAATTTAGTCAGTACACAGCGCGATCACTAACGTCGGTACCTGCACTAGAAAATATGTAATTTGAAAAATATTTTATACGACCACGGCAGTCTTATGTCTGGGTTGTCGTAAGTCGAGTAGGTCGTAAGTCAAGGAGTACCTGTACTGTAGGTATCCCTCGTTTAGCGTTGATTCACTTCATGATATTTCGGTTAACGATATAAAATTTCTAAAACCCTTTCTTGTTTAACGATTGGTCAAAATTTGGTTTAGCGATGTTCAACCCAATGGGGAAATCTTTGGAGAGAAGTTGAAGCTTGTGGGGATTCTGTGCTCCAAGTACACATCTCTACTGCCATTTGCTTTGCTACCTGCATGCCACCTACCCACCTGTTGTTTGATCAGTTTTACATGCTTCGCTGTTATCGCTGTATACTCCATTGTTCTGATCGCTGTTTTAATTGTGACTTTTACTGGTTATTGAGTACTGTGTGGACTGTTCATATATTGTGATACTGTACTATGTAAAGTGAGTGAACTTTGAAATAATGTAATTTCCTCAGTTACATATTCCAAAAGGCTTACCTCTCTTAACTTCATCATTTCCATGAATAGTTGGAAACAAAGATGATATGAGGTTCTGGTAAAGGTTCTTATCTCGTGACATCTCGTACACTTTATTCCACTCCAGCTCTGTCATCTGTTTCTTGATTCCTTCAGCAGTCATCTCTTCCCCACGAATTTCCTTTCCACCAAACTGGTTTGAGGACATACAGAAATTGTCTTTATTCTATCTAATCTCCACCAAACAAAAGAATGGATATACAGTACTGTATTGTACAGTATAAATATTCAAAGAATCCCAACTGAACCACTGAGAGAGCTATAGATAAATACTAGGGAGATAATATGCCTTAACCAAACTGTTGGTGAAGCTTTCCAATCAGCTGTATCATAAGTCATATAAATATCTTAAAGTTCTTCATGTATTGAAATAACTACAAGAATCATTGTCAGTATAAACCCTTATTCACATATTTTCCAGTTTCTCAGAGTTCTTGCTCTTCCGTAGAGGAATATGCACAGTGTTCTACAACATTGAGGACCTCAGGTGATATCTATTCTACATAGGGCAACTCCAACACATCTTCATCTTAAATCCTATCCATCTGCAAGTTAAGATCCATTTAGAATTATTTTTTATTTATCATATCACATGCATCTCCATAATGCTCTTCTTATACAAGTCACATTATTATAAGCATGGTATTCAAAGATAATTCTCTTACTCTCTACTCCAATATCAGTAACATTTTTATACTGTAGCTAGTCCAATTAGTTCTGTAAAGTAGCTTCATCTAAAAACTGCCCGGTGAAGAACATTTTTAGTCTAACTGGACAACTGAATTACTATATATATGTAAGACTAACCTTTGGATTGGTTGGTGTGATGGAGCACGCTAAAAATGCCAAGCGGTAATTGAGATCACGAACACCAAGTGCTTTAAGACCTGTCACTCCTTCACTGTCACCACCTAAGGAAAGTAAAATAATTGAGAACTAGATCTAATGCAGTAGCTACCTTCCATGATGTTGCCTTACAAATCATGAAATAATATAAATTCAAAATGCCCCTTATAATAGTAATAACATTACAAACTAATTTCTTGTGGGAATCAATATGAATTGGCCAGAGGTTTGTTGACCTGTCCTCCTACCACAAAATCTCCACTCATTTTCCTCCACATCCATTCATTACAAAAGAAACCAACAAACCTTTATGCCTTGCAGAACTCTCTGCTCGAGCACCAGGAAGGTTCAGTGCAGAAACATCAGGAACCACAATCAAAGTTCCTATGAAGTCACAGCGATCACCAGCCTGTGCTCGCTCCACAGCCTCAGCACGGACAACTATTTCAACACTGGAGAGAAAACATTAAAATAACTAAAAAACGAAATACTCTAAATATTCAATCATATCATGACTAAACAGTTGGGTTCAGCGCTAAATACAACTCTTAATGAACTTAACACACAGTCCATAATAATTTTAGTTGGAATGAAGCCTCTGTTGAGTGACCTAAAATTCATCTCAAGCCAGCAAAACAAAGCACACAATATGACTAACTACTGTACTATACAATACTCATCTTCACTGAAACTAAAAGCCAACTGTGAACCATTAAGCCTGAATCTTCTAAACTTTATTTGGTACAACTAGCTAAGAACTAAACAAGGGCAAGTCAGTCTACCTAAGAAAACATAGAGGGTTGCACTGACATCTTAAAGACACAAAAACTGAGAGCATGATGCACAAGGGGTGGTAAAGAATACATAAATGAAGGAATAATTAAAAGGCAACTAGTGATATGATGACAGCCATCGTCTTGAAAAAAGAGTGAAATAGAAAATATTGGGGGGCCTCCTAAGGGTAAGAGAGGAAGTCAGGAGGCTGCCCAAGAGGAGTCGCTGGGGGAAAATAAACCATTAGAGTTATAAATATACTGAAAATAAAAAAAAATATATAGAAATATTTCTAACACTTATCGAAATCAATCAATCATGACCCACAAACACATCAAAACCATTACCTGCGTGGGATACACCCCCTTGGCAGCTCAGCTTGAACCTCCTGGATGCGAACCTTTTGAAAGTCAACAAAACGGCTCTTGTTTGTGTCAAGCATGAATCTTGCACGGTTACTGCATACAGGATTACGGCAGATGGTGGGTTGGGTGTACTAAGGAGCAAAAGATGTCATTAATATTACTCCCTCTTATTTGTTTTGTAATTATTAATTATAATCACCAACATTTCTCTGAGAAACATTTCAATATCATCCTAAATTCAGCACCAATATCCCTAATTTACCCTCAATATTACAGGTTGGGCTAATTACAGATTCTCAGCCATACTAAAATACAGTAGGTTCTTGGCTTTACAAAAATAATTATCAGCTTAATTACAGCAGGTTCTCAGCTTAACTATGAAAGGTTACCAGCTCATCTTGAATAGAGTCTTGGCCTCGCCATAAGTTCTCAGCAAATATAAGGCAGGTTTTGAGCCAAATCAAACAAGTTCTCATCCTAATTGTGAGATGTTCTTACAAAAGGTTCTCAGCCTAACTATAACAGGCTCTTGGTCTAATGTTAACAGGTTCTCAGCCTAACTATTATTTAACCTTAATTTGTAACACTTGCTCTGGGAGCCATCTGTAATATCTCACTGTCTTAACTCCACAATGGACGAGTTGACGGTTCTGGGTAAACACATGAAACACACTCTGCCACATTCGTAGTGATACAATATATTTAATTTGTAATAAAAGTTTAAAGTCCTGCTATAATAGTCGAGATAAGTTAATTTTTCTAGAAACAGGGCCGCCATTTGCAATGACGTCACTAGTTTCAAACTTGTCGCTGCAGTCGGAGGTAGTAGTAAGAAATGGTCTCTTCAGACACCAAATGCTACATTCAGATAAGTTTTAAGTGTTTTTGTTTTTTGTTTTTTTATGATCTAAGTCACGAACATTTCTTAAGTGAAGAAACATGCCGTGAAGGGCAGCTTCAAACATAGGTTGGATGGATATATGAGCGATGGGGGTTGAGTGTAAATGGTACTGCCCAGTGTGGGCCAATAGACCCGCTGCAGTTTCCTCCATTCTTATGTTCTTTCGGACAAAAAAAAAATCCCATGTTCACATCAGCTCAGCTGTCATGTATTCTTACCCGGTAGACTTTCTCTTTTTTTTTTTTCATTGCATTTACAGAGTACAGTATATCAGTACTAGACGGAGATAGGAGTAAATTTAGAAGTAATGAACCACTGGGATAATACAGCATCATCATTTATATAAATTAATGAGTAAAATTTTACTTTAACTACCATAGGTATTTGGATGTTTAGATTCGAGATAAGCTATATTGGGTAAATTTTAAGTTTTGGTCATCCCTGTACTTAGACATGCAGACTGTTTTTTTTTCTGATGGTTTGTGATGTGTTATGGACGATTTATGCCTTCATTTCTATCGGATATCACTAGTTTTGAGTTACTACCCCCTCTTACCGATGTATGTTAGGCTAACCTTGTAACTCATCATAACCTAACCAAACCTAACATGTGATCTGTATTTTCTTATGCGATCAAAAAATGTTTTGCGACAGAAATCCTGTAGAGATAATGTGTTTTATTGTTTTAAGTACTTAATTCCATAGTTAGAATCTTAAGGTTCCCCAGATGACCAATACCAAAAATAATACCAATGTTGTTTAGAATGTTTATACCATGAAATTTATTGTATGGGCAGCTAATATCCATTGAATTAGTTTATGTGCTTAGTAATATTTATATATTCAAAATAGTATTACTGTGTTGCACAATAAAGCACAATTAATTATCTAATAATATTTATTTACTGAGCCGATCAGCCGAGAAGGTTGGACAACTACAGCTGGCTGCCTCCCGCAGGGAAACTAACCCCCAACCTGTGACGTCACAACCAATCACAAAGCTTTTCGCAGGCACGTGACTTTTTAGCAACTTTAACCCTTATTTTTGGCTGAATTTATTTAAAAATATCATTACCATAGTGAATTTAAGCGTTTTCTTTACCCATTGACCTGCCATCTTGCAAAAAAATTCCGACTGTCATCTCGTCCAATAACTTAATCTCCCTTCTGATTTTTGCCTGCCATAGATTTACACACTGTTTAATTGTTTCCACATTCATTAATAGGGATATGGAAACCAAACAAATAATCACGAGCAATGCCAGGTACAGTGCACGAATACTGTGTTCTAATATAAGACTACATACTGTACTGAAGTATCAGTTTATGATGAAAAATCTCATAAAATAGGCTTACCTGTAATTGATCATGCTGCACCTACCTTAAACTGTTGCTCCACATCTTTAATGACCGTCTGACAGTCTAGACAGACAAAAGTTCCAGCAACAAGCTCTGGGTGGACTGGGTGAGTCCGTACAACCTATAATATAATAACAATTTCCATTTGTAACATATATAATGTATCAAATTCTTAGCACTGTAAGTAATATCATGAAATATTTTTTTCATAATGAATACCACTGCAACTCAAAGAGCTTCCAAAATTTATACATCTCTCAGGTGATTAGTGGGGTCATTAAACTAGCACAACTGAGCTGTGCCTATTATAGAAGCTAAAAGGTATCGCTTCTTCTTTGGCTTTATTTGTATTGGTTGTTCCTTTTCTAGGATTTTCATTAACACACACCTGGATGAGTAAGTGCAACTGACAGACTACATGGTGCTGGGGAGTTTGTAATGCCAGTACTCTTACTGTATTATTATTGACCTTCCCTTCATTTGGTAGATGGCAACTCCCCTAGTAGAGTATATATCATATTGGCATTGAAATGTTTCTAGTACCCTCTCATCCTCTTTTCTAACTAAGTTCAGTAACATGTTACTCACAGACCGATTCAGAAATCCCATCTACTAGCTACACCATTTCCTCTAATATGTCATGGAAGTCACACATCCTCAACATTGCTAAAGCTGCATCCAGAAAGTTAGGAATGCTGTACAGATGCCGTAGCTACTTCACTCCTGAGCAATTACTTCAAGTATATAAGGGATTCATTCGTCCTAACTTGGAGTATTGCTCTCATATCTGGGGTGGCTCTTCTTCTGTCTAACTGTTAGATAGGGTGGAATCAAAGGCATTTTGTCTTATTAACTCTCCCCCTTTAGTTGATAATCTTTCTTCCCTTTCTCTTCGCCACAATGTTGCTTCACTCTCTCTCTTTTACAGGTACTTTAATGGCCAATGTTCAGTGAATTTGGCATCCTGTGTACCGCCGGCAAGGCCATGGGCTTGTAACACTCATCTTGCCTGCGGTGCCCACCGTTTCCCAGTGGATGTCGGTCACACGAGAATAACCCGTTATAGTACCTCCTTCTTTCCTCACACAGCCAAACTGTGGAATGCTCTGCCTTCTTCTGTGTTTCCATACTCATACAATGTCTCACTTTAAAAAGCTGGTTTTCCGGCATCTTCGTGGTGTAGATTAATACAATATAACCTTTTTCTTTTCTATTTTTAATTTCTTTCCGTTCTTATTTGTCGTCCCCCTAGGCCCCGTCATGGGTTGTTCGACTTGTGCCCGGGTGGGCTAATTCCCGTAAAAAAAAAATAAACAAATAATAATAATAAAATAAATAAATAACTGTGTAACAGATACATTCCCTCCCCCCAATACTGTATATGGTGGAAAGTGGGCTGGTTCTTGTTTGATAATGAAGAAGATAGCTTTACAAAAGAGGGGGATGAGCTGCCTCCCTGGGCATGCTAATTATCAGTCTGATATCAACAGTTAATTCTTTTTTAATAAACCTTGGTTACCAAAATAACCTTAAAATAATCTGGGAGACTGACTCCACATAACATAATAAGAACATCCCATAGTCCACTTACTTACCTGACCAGATATGCGAACCAAAGTACCAATTTTGTGTGTGGACAGCTCACGAATCTTGTGTCTTGTGGGAACATCTATAAGACTCACATAATATTCCTTATCTACTGAAACTTCTGCATGATCTCGCACAAAGTTCCGCACAGCCCGGCACATGAACGAATACACTCTGATGGTAAAGATTAACAAACACCATTAAGTATTGTCACCCAACACATCCCCTGTTAGTGTATGGCTGATCATCATGTGAAAATAATTGAAGACTTTCAATATTTTGAACCACTTTGGGTCCATAAAGTTTGTTCAGTGCAGCCCAATATATGCAGCAACTTCCTAAAACTTTTGAAAGCTTTCTTGCATAAGTTCATGGATGAACAGACTAATAACTGCATTCTATCTTAAAGTTTAAATGTTGGCTTGATACTTTTGCCACAGAGATGATTGAGACATGTACCACTGCCAAGTACAGTAAATCCCTGGCTAAGACTCTTAATACAGTAAAAGTATTGGTTCTCTTGGTCCAAACTGTCTCAAGGTAGATCAAACCACCTTGCCTTTCCTGACTAATTATATTGTAATACTGTACAGTACAGTACATTAATTTTCATCCTGTGTAAATAAATCTATACAGGAACTAATAAACTGCTGAGGAGGTGCCAGCTTGTTATCCCACTACAATACTGTACATCTGTATACAGGGTATACTTTTCTTGAATGATTTTCGTAAGCATTACTTTTGGTAAAAAAAATGGCAGAATTCAAGCAAAAGTTAGAATTCTCATGCCCAATAAAAAAAAATTATCTCAAGAAAAGACTCAATTTATTTACACACTACTACAATATTTCCAAGAATTTACCTGTAATACTCTTCAACAACAGTTGTAGCTAAATTTTGGTTGTACTTGTCAATGTCAACAAAAGACACTTCCAGGGTGTTGCGCTCTGGCTTCACTAAGTCCCGAGCTTCCTCCAGATACTTGATGTCACCTCCCTCCTGAAACCTGAAGAAAACGGTGTGTTAGGATAAGTTCCCTACCAGGTACAGTAATATGTTTGCACTGTACTCTACGTCTAGTTACATACACAAAAACAGGTACCAGGGTCCTCTACAATCACCAACACGTAATAATTTATTTCTATACGTACAAGCACTGTACAGTACAGCTGCTCCTCGACTTATGACGGGGTTAGGGACCCAAATCCAGGTCATAAGTCGAATTGGTCTATGTCGAAAAGGCTTAAATAATACATGGAAAATCCCAAAATGGGTGTCTCTTTTTCTTCTCACTTTTAAGCTTGCCATCCATTTTAAAGTGAATTACAAACGAAAATTTTGTCAGTACACAGTGCAATCACAGACGTTGGGACTCGAAAATACGTAATTTGACAAAATTTTGGTACGACCGAGGCGATCGTATGTCAGGGTGGTCGTAAGTCGAGTAGGTCCTAAGTCGGGGAGGACCTGCACCTCCTCCAATGCCATGAGCCTCCACTTTTCTTATTATTCTTTCGTGGGGGACTCTGTCGAAGGCTTTGCTAAAGTCGAGATATATCACATCATAGTCATGCCCATCACCCACTGATTCGAAAACAGCTGAAAAGAATGATAGCAGATTAGTTAGACATGAATACCCGCATTCCCCTATTGGAGAAATGCTATTTCTTTCAGAGTTGGGTCATGCATTATATAGCATGGTAATACGATTCAGACGATGAAATGTGCACTCCCTCTCCCATGGCTCGCCGACTAAATTCAGTATTATAGTAAACAGTAATTTATAAAAAAATACACTTTCCCAAAAGAGAACATTGTCATTAGCAATTAACAACTAAAATTATGGTGGAAAAGCAGTGTGTTCTTGCTAGAATCATTGACAGCATTAATCTGCACTTTAACCTGGGAATTCTTATAAGCTAAAACCACACAGGCCATGAGAACTTTTCCTTTCAAATAAGGTTATGTGATGGAGTAAAGCTTGGAGATAACCATAAAAATCTAAATATAGAAAGACTGTAATTTCGGTAATACTTAACGACAGTGGTGTTCAGTTAGCATCAACTTTAGAAAATTTCTTACCATAACAATAAAGCTTTCTTACCACCTGAAATTGACACAGTGGGTGGGGAATAAATTAGTAATACCACCTTTATGATGTTTTACGTATTCTGGCTCTGGGATAAATTAGCAATGGCTTGTTTTTTCATGTTTTTCACCAAGAGGCTAACAAGCTGATCAGTGGGGAAGAGGATAACAGTAAAAGATCTCCTGACAGCCAGTCACCTTAATGTTATATATACTTACTCTTCCAGGAAATCTTGAAATAGCTTCTGACAACGATCTCCGACCTCATCTTTATTGTGAGACTGTCCGGTCTGTGCTTCAGCAACATCCATGGCGTCAGTAGGTTAGTTCTTGTAATAAACGGAGTATACTGCAGCAGCTCCTCACACCACACACAACACACTTTTGGCGGGAAACAATCATCACGTGACCTCCCGGCTCTTCTCTTCACCTCCCTCCTTTATCGCTCTTCTCTTCACCTCCCTCCTTTATCGTTCACCTTAAGTCACATTTTCACACTTTTTAACTTATAGCTTTAGTAATTTTGCGTGGAAGTTTTATTTAAGGATGTAACATAGTTTTGTTAGCCTTCTGTACACTAGGTGACAGATTAAAGTCACAGGGAGGTAAAAGGATCAGCCGCCTAGTGTGTGTTAACATGGTGAATTATTATTGGCTGAGAGAGGCAGCTTGTGGGTCCTGACCAATGATAATCTTTGTTTACTCTTGTTGGCGGGGTGATTGGTGCAACAACATGTAAACAAACTAAGATAGATAGATAGATAGATAGATAATTCGTCAAATTAAAGAAGTAATACAGGTAATTTTAATAGGATTATGCATATCCCATGAACTTTATAACAAATGAGGATGGGCGAACAGTCCTAATTTTGTATAACCAAAGATAGATAATTATTATATTATATTATATATGGAATGATAGGTACACACTGTGCAGAATACATGTTCGTATAGACGGGCATTGACTGTTTTAGCTACAGCAACAGTTTCCGTGTACCAAGTGTGACCATCTTGATCAATATCACCACCACATAGGCCAGATGACACTTTTTATCTCTGACATTACTGTTCAGATATCAACAGCGTGTCCTTGAAGGCTTACCCTGAGAAGTTTTATATAACGAAGAGCATTGCGAGACACATTAAGTTATAATTATAAAAGAATCAAAATATGTAATTGCAAAGAACTGATTTTCTTTTAGAAATTGAGGATCATATGAAGATCTTCCCCCCCAAAGTATCCAACTTAAGATCCTCCCCCCCAGTCGCGCTCATATGAAGATCCCCCCCAACATATAATATAAATAAACAACATAAGGATTAAATAATAAAACATTATTCAGATTACTTTCTTGTTACACTAAATATTGGTGTAGGTTAGGTTAGGTTAGGTTAGGTTAGGTTAGGTTAGTGGTCATAGTGACGTCAGGTCAGGTTTGGTCATTGGTCAGGTCAGATCCTCCCATCCAGGCTTGATCATATGAAGATCCTCCCCCCCCCAAGTAGGTTTGGGGGGGAGGATCTTCATATGATCCGAAATTGAATCTAAGTTCCATGATTCTACTTCCTCAGGAATAATTTTCAGTTTCGACAACTGCTATACAAAGCTCGCCAAATACCTTTAAAGTTTTATACAAATCGACTAACTTTAACCTTAAACTTTGAGGACTTAAACTGGTTATGTTGTCTCCAATTAGTCGCTATCCATCATATCCCGCACGTGCATTGCCTGTAAGTGCATATTTGGCTTGAGGATAGACAGTAAATTATGCTGTATATCTTCAATAACATCTGTAAGCATATGCATATGCTTATGATAAATTTCGCCCAGTAATATCATCTATCCCAGATATAATTTAAGGTTTATTTTCACAATCATATTAATCATTTTATTGCATTTAAAAGTAGCGGGCAATGACGTACTATGTTTAGGAGTTAGTGCAGCAGGAACTGATAAGAAGGATTGTATATGATGGTTCAATGAAAGGGGGAACAACCTTCTTTATCTAATATCAAATAATATATATCTTAAAAACATGTCTTCTACCTTATTTTCAATTTTTTTTTAATAGTTTCTAACAGTACATTGAGTTTACCATAAGTGTTTCCGTCTCTATCCTGATTGTAGTATTTTCTTCTCATCTGCCACGCAACATAGGCTGGTTGGGGCTGGAGAGCTGATGAGTTCCTTTATTGGGCCAGAAATTGTTGAAATATATTTTTCACTTTAACCAACAGCATCATGGGAGACACTAAGGAGGAAACCAAGATGATGGTAATAATTTAACTCAAGTAAATGTGATTGTTGAGGAGGAATTAGGTTTGTTATTAGTGGTATGTGTGGTGACGTAGGCGAGTTTTGTTTACGTGGACACCAGTGAGCTGTCAAGTTGTCTGCACCGGTGCCAATATACCCTTATATCAGGTCATTATTGATTGTTTATTGCTCTATCATTATCTATACGATGGTTGGGTACTAGTTACAGGTATCTGAGGCCTTCTTTGGGTTTATAAGTGTTTAAAAAGGTTGCCTTCGAGCTGAGGCTTCACGCCCAGGGGGTGTGTTGGAGAAGTGTATATGAATTATTTGTGTGTTAAAGGTTTGCTATAAAGAAATATTAAGACTAAGTTTTTCACGTGGAAGACTGTCACACATCAAATCTTTCACACAGGAGGTCCACTGTGTCACAAATATTAACGGTAGGTTGTACTTTTGTCTGACAACATTTAGTAAAGGTTAAGGAAAGTCTCACTGCCTTATTTCCTGATAATTTTTGAGGGAATATTCTTTGATGTATTTATTTTACGGCTTAGAAAGCAATTCCAGTCGGTCAACAATAAAACAATGAGTGAATTCATAATGATTTTTACAAGCCTTTGTCAGAGTGTACCCAAACAGTCTTAATTCACTTGACAATTATCTTGGAGGGTACAGAACCAAAACCATTTATGACGTGTTAGCAGATAACATGAACCAAAAATTTTTATTAATTCTAGGATAATTATATTTGATTAAATTCATATGTATATATACAGTAAGTCCTCGCTTAACGTCGTGGTTCCATTCCTGAAAACCGTGACGTTAACAGAAACAACGTAAATGAAATAAACTTTCCCCATAAGAAATAGATAAAATATGGCAGTTACATTCCCCAGCCTCCGTTTGCCCCATAAAATACATTACATATACAGAAATTCAATGGCATTTTTATAGAAAATAGTATATATATATATATATATACACACACACACACACACACAATCAACACCTCAACCCGCCAGGATTCGAACCCACGGCCCATGACTGTGACCGGGGAACGCTACTTCTGGACCACCAGGATACTAAAAGCAGTCCTAGACTCTGTTATATTTCACACAAAGCCTGTTCAACGAGCTTATGGCGCCGTGAAGCTTGTTGAACAGGCTTTGGGAGGTTTCCAATCTTTTCTTCTGAATTACATGAATTGTACAGGAGTGATTGTATCTGAAATCTCCCAACCTGATTGTAAGGGAGGGGATGCATCCCCTCCCAGGATCTAATCTCCTGGAAGGATGTGGTGTTGGTGGTATTATTCAGAACAGAGGCGACCTGTGGTGTAATGGTCAGCATCCTTGCCTCGCAAGCGAGCGAACCCGAGTTCGATCCTCGGGCAGGGTGAAACTGTGGGCAAGTTTCTTTATGCCATTTGCCTCTGTCTACCCAGCAGTAATTGGGAACCTGGATGTTAATCGATTTGCGGATCGTATTCCGGGTTAATGGTTAGCCAGTGCAGTTGGCGAGTTGTCCAGTCTTCTCGGACTATTCCTTGACACTGGGCCATGCAGCTTGTTAACTTGGGGTGTGGCTGTTGTGTTAGCGACAGCTTCTACACCTTAACAAATTCACGCCTAGGAGGCCCTTGGGCCGGTCATCCTCAATTCCGAGGGGCTTCCATTATTATTATTGAGTACAGTATAACTCATCAGAACATTGCCTGGGATAAAATAACTGAATAGATTAGATGTCTATATTATCTTTTAAATTTTTGAGGTAAATAATAGTACTGTACTGTATCACTACATCACTGGACATTGTGTAAAACTCCCGGTGTACTGTACTGAGTGAGAAGGATCTTGTACAGCAGGTGGATTATTCACATGAATAATGCCTTGAACATGAAGTTATTGCACTTATTGACATGAGCAACAGTATCATCGGTGTTCAATGTTTGGGTGTACGTATATTTCGTGAGCCAATGCTCAGAGCCCTCGCCCATACTACAGAGTTTTAGGATTAAATTCTCCATTTTTACCTCCTGATTTTTTTTTCACAGTAAGGAATAAACACTAAAAACTGTTTCTTTTAATCAACAGGAAGCTGGAGAAGAGCCAGTAGAGACTAAAGAAAGTGAGAGTAAAGAGGCGATACCAACAAACGGAGATATGGAAGTGACTGATGAGGGGAAAGCACCAGACAAAAATGAGTGAGTGTTTTGTTTACTAATCCTTGCATATGTTAAATTCATGATGGCTAATTTTTATAGTATTGTACAGTGGAGTCGTGATAATCGGTGAAATACAAATTTATTTTCTTAAGGTTGCGGGTATCTCTGTTACTTGTACTAGTACTTCTTATTTTATATTTAACAGTCAAATATTAATTCAAACAGCTTCAGTCTTTATTTACGTAAGAAACCATAAAAGTTGTGGGAATATAATTTCAATGCTCTAATGGGACTTAGAAATATAGAAGATTAGTACTGTACTGTATACTGTACTGTAATATAAAATTGTAAAATAAGAAAAAATTAAGAGTGGGAAGAGAATTGTGTGTGATAGGTGGGAGGTAAAGCAGTTAGATGGTGGGCTAAGCTTTCCTTGCCTCTGCTGCTCTACACTTGCGAGCGCTCATCACTGTGCAGCCCATTTGACCACTTGTGAATGAGGTCAGCTTTGTGCTGAATAAAATTGGCTGGAGTTAGCTAGATAAAATATTAAAAGTGGCATTCCCATAGTGAGGTTAAATGATGTCACCTAAAGGTTATCTGATTCAATATTGATTAAGGTTATAAAAGTAAACGTGTCATGATTTCTGTTTGTACACATCAATTTAAGGTTTATAGATATTTAGTTATATCTGCACTAAATTTTTTTTTTCAGGCCAGTTGTGGAAGAAACACAGACTGAGGAAGAAGAGAAAACACAGAATATAGAAGAACAGGTGCAAGATGAACAAGTTAACAATGATAATGGACAACATAATGAAGGTGAAAATAAGCAAGTGCAAACAACACAAGTACAAGGAGAACCAGTAACAAAAGAAACAACAGAAGAGGGAGAGAAAGAAGTAGCACAACATGGTAAGGTTGAAGAGCAGGAACAACAAGGAGGAGAAGTGGTAGAAGAAGAGGAGGAAGAGGAAGATGTGTTTGGAAGTCTATCTGTCTTTGTCACAGAGGTGTTTGGGACCTTAAGCTCCCCAGCAGAGCCTTTTCGATCTGAGGACAGGAGCCCCAGGCCTCTTGCATTAAATGGTATTGATCCAACAAATACCATGAGACTTTTGCAGGTGAGTCTTGACCAGAAGGTGGTTGAAGAATACTCAAGGCAGGCATGTTTAGTTAAAATTGGATCATTATGGCATATGTAGACTTGAGCGTATTGAAATTAGAATGGTGACATGGATGTGTAGTGTGACATTTTGAACAAAATCGATGAGATCAAGATTTAACGTGTCCAGAATAACACATGAACACCAAAAGGTGATCTTGAAAAATCATAGGTGGTGAGTATTTAGCATTGTCAAAGTAATTAAAATTTTTTAGATGTCAATTGGACAAGTAATTATACAGATGTCAAACTGTGGACGACCGATAAGTGGGATGTTTGAACTAAACTTGGGAAAGTGGAATTGCAATAATTTTATTAAGAATTACGTTAATTATAGAGGAGGAAGATTATATAGGAAATATTCCAACTTGATGATAGGGGGAGAGGCATCCCCCCCCCCCCCTGGGATCTATGCCCCAGCCTCAGAGATAAGAACCTGATGACAGGCTGCAGGAAACTACACAACATGGCAAGCTGCCATCACTTAATCATGGCTAACTCACATTAGCATTGAAAATGGTTGTAAAACAGTTATGTTGATGATGATGGAATATTGCATACATTTTGCTTAATTTTCTTTACTACAGTAGTTATATACAGTACTGTAAAGTACAGTAGGGTGGTCCAAAAATTAAAAGTTGAAATTTTAATTTTGACACATGTCGCCCTAATACCTTTACCCCAAACATGTCTTCAGGCAAAATTTCAGTTCCTTATCTCAATTCTTGTATTCAGGGGTCCTGCAAAACTTAAACTTCCCGGTCATCACAAAAAAATGACACAATCATCTCAAATAAGCTCATGGAAAAGGAAAGGCATCGTTGTCTGTAGCTTCTAAGTTTATTTCAGAAGACAGCTTTTGACATGGAGGGCACATCCTTCCTGTGCTGAGCTACAACTTTCAGGAGGTACTGCTTTTGGGTCTCATCCTTGGTGATGGATGAGACTAAGATAACTAAATGTTTTGTGGGACCCCTAAACATCATCCAATTTTCTTCAAATTTTATACAAAGCTAGTGTACATGAAGTGCAACGAGGGCACCATGTGCTTGCTTGGTTCAGACAACTTTCAAATTTTCACCCTATAATTTGGACTACCCTACTGTACAGTAAATATTCTGTTATCTGACTTTTTGCTTTCAAATTAGTTCATCTATCTGACTGTTCCTTTTTTTATATACTGTAGTTAACCTCAGAAATTTGTGGATAGTCAGCGTGAAATTAAATAAAAAATGGTAGATTGGCTTTGAAATTAAGATGGCCAGTTTAATTAATGTGATGTGTTTACTGGCTACTGGCTAAGATAGGCAAGGTAGACCTGCTTCTAGTCTAATGTTTGAGATAGTTGTGACAGGGAAGGATGGGTGACTATATTATCAACCCCTGGTTGCCGGTTGGGGGTGTCGTCTTCTGTTCTGTACTAGTAAAATGCCTAGTCCGCGCACTTTTTTCCACCAGTAAACTGAAGGTGATTGGAAATACAAGAATTGATCTGGTGACTTTCAACTGTGACTTGACGTGTTTAGTGGTTGTAAAGCTTATAGATCACTGATGTTGTTCCCCACAGAAATGTTATGAGGTTCATATTTTAATCTTAAATATTTTAGAAAAGTAATAATTCTTGATACAGTACTGTAATATCAAAGTTTATGTATTATCTGTTTTTGTTTGCAAACCTTCTCAAAACATTAATACTTTCCCTTATAAACCTATAATTTAGCATTTTTGTCAAGTAGTATAAGAAATATTTTTACCATTAGAACTTGGATATTTATGTGTATTGTTATTGCAGTGTTAAAATAACTACCATACTGTATGTGCATAACTACAAAATCTTCTTAAATACATCCTTTATCTTTTAGGATCTTATGACTTATGATGAAGAGGACCCTGATGTGACTTATGGTCTTAGCTCAGTTGATTCTCATAGTCGTCTGGCAGTAGTGTCACACCTGCTCGCAGCTCTGGTTACTACTCTTGATCCACAACACCTGAGGCGGCTAGCAACAAGAATTATGTCTGACTCCTGCCTTTGGGTTTCCAGACTCTTTAGGTAAGTTTAGAAAGTTTTGATGTCAGATATGTCTTCAGAATTTGTTGTTGTATTTTTGAGGCCATTATTAGTCCCTTTTTTCTCATCCCCTTGGCTAGTATGGGGGATGTAGCAATTAGTTGCCTGTAATTATGAGGTGGCATTTACCTTATCTGCAACTACATGTACGGTAGTACCATATCTCATCCTTACTGTCACTTCCTGTCAGACAATGTCTCTTTACATACTATTTTTTGCTGCTATTTCCATTGTGTGTGTGCCATTGAAATACAGTCCATCATCTCCCAACTTTTGGTTGTAATACACCACATCAGCTTTTATTACAGATTGTAACATATGTAATACTGAATATATAAATGGACACCTTATTATTTTTATTTGGTATAGATTTGTTTTTAACCTTTAAATGACAATTACTTTTAACAAGTGATGAGTGCCTTTTATCCTTGAGAGATTATGATAATCTTTGTAATCAGGATCTTTTTATGCCATAATTTTTAAGTTACAATAATTCCCTTCAATCTCAAAATTAAGGCATGGAAAGTACTATATAGATGATCACTGTTGTTGTGGGACATAAGACATTCTTCATATTTTTTATTTTTTTTATTTTTTTGTTTTTACGGGGATTAGCCCACCCCGGCACAGGTCACTGACCCACATCGGGGCCTGGGGGGAATGTAGTAATAATAATAATAATAGTAATAATAATAATAATAATAATAATAATTCATAGTAAATAAAATTGATAATAATAAGCAGAGCCGCATTAAGGGGTTGGGGGGGCCCTGGGCGACACCTGGCAGTGGGGGGGCCCCCTGCTGACAACTGAAAATAAATAAGGTAATATCCAAGGTCAATGGAAATAATAAAATCTAGTAATAATGACACATTTACAAATTCAACGAAGGCGTATACTACATTAATTTGCAAATGCACTTTTCGTGATTTTTTCTAGCAAATAAACGTATCACATTGTCAAATGGAAGTTCTCTTGAAATGTCTGACTCGGTGCTTAATAGCATCAGATTGTCGAGTCTCTCCTGGCGCATCGTGGTCCGCAGCTTGTTTTTAATCAGTTTCATTTTTGAGAAGGAACGCTCCCTGGTAGAGACCATCAACACCAGATATATCCTCAAAACCGTTGCTACATTTGGAAATGCTGATTGTAAGCCATCATTTTCTTTTATAATTCTGTAATAAAACGACTCATTGGGCTCATCCGCGGCTTTTGCATACAACTTTATCAGAGACGAGAATTGAATCATTTCATTGGAGATGTTTTCATTAATATCTTTTCCATAAGTTTGCAGAAGATTTTGTGAAGCAGAATGAATGGCATCGGCTGACATGGTTTCCAGATTGCTTAAAAAGCCGAAGCGATCCTTAACCAACGTGTATGCTGAATCCTTTCGTTTAGGGATACCACTGGGTGATCAATGACTGTGAGGAAGCATTTTGTTTGGAAATTGTCTCTTGCACTGAGATCCACTTCACTTGAACATCCATAATCCAGTGGAGTGAGCTGTACGTTTGATCGCCTCTGACGACCTGAAAGGACAAGCCAGATCTTTTGCCTTTTCCTCATTGGCATCAAAACTGTCTCTTTCTTTCAACGAAACATTTCAAGGAAACCAGCGAATTTACTGCTGATTGAAGAATTAGTCTTGTATCTTGAAGAAGTTTGTGTGGTGTAATGATTCACTTATTTATACAGCCTTTTTATTATTTTATTATAATCTCTGTTAAATAAGTTAAATCAGTTCACCAAACATGAGTTTTAGTAGGAAATATTTGTGGCGGCCTGGTGGAGTTACGGTAAGTGGTGCACAGCGAGTGTTAGGTAATCTGTTCCACTTGTTTGTTGCTCTGTGGTAAAGATTTTTAAAACTTTGTTTGTTTTTTTACAATGTTCTGGGCGTGCACCCGGTACGCCCTGCCCATAATCCGGCCCTGATAATAAGTAAAAAAATTTAAATAAAATGATAATGATAATAATAATAACAACACTGTAATAATAATAATAATAATAATAAAGAACCATAAAGAAATACAAAAATGAAAAAAAATATCAAAAGTGAGAAACAATATATGTATGTTGTGTTGTCTATACAGTAGTAAGAGAAACAATTGAGACCCTATAGTAAGAGAAAATATCGATTGTGTGTAAATGAGGCAGAAAGTCAGATCAGCAACCTGGGACTTGGTCACAATTTTCGTGATGCCATATGGCAGCAGGGTCTACCATTAGATAACACATTATACTTCCAATGTCTTCCCAGGCGGTAGTAGCTACCGGTACCTGTTTGGTAGCTGCCTACTACCTACTAGGATTGCCTTCCTTTAAGGGTTAAATACATCTTTATACAGTAGTTACACACATTATTTTTTTCACCTTACAGGTATTTTGAATCAACTGCATATGTTCACGAGGACGTTCGAGAAGGTGTTGTAAGAGTGTGCCGAATGTTGCTTCACACTCGTTATCCAAAATACAAATGTGACGGCTATGAAGCTCTGTATGCTAGGCCTCCAGTCTTATACACCAGCAGCACAGTCAGGCCTGGGTTGCCACAACACATCGCCACAATGGTAAGACTTATACTTGTACAGTACTGTAGTATACAGTAGTGCCTCTTCAATTATAATACTAATTATTTGATTTTTAAAATTCTGAACCCAGACCCCAAATCAGCATGTAAAAAATAGTACCTTTTATGAATTTTGATCTAAATCCAGGTTTTGACCTCATATGCCAAAACGATGGGTAATAGGTCAGTTGTCATTTTCATGATAAAACACCTTTTCTCTGGAAACTGAAAACTAACTTGCTTAAAGCATAACGATAGTCTATATTACTGAGAAACTGTATATAAGGGTAATTTAAAACTTACGGGTCACAACGTATTTGATATTTTAAAAATTATGTATGTATTAAATAACCTTTTTATTTATATCTTGGCAGCCTCCTTTACTGTTTTTGTTGGTGATAATGTGTGAATAAGAGTATTGTGTTGACTGTGTTAAAGATGTTAAGAATCAATATCATGATGTTAACCTTTACTATTTTTGCCATTTAGCAGCTTTAAGATTGCATGATGTTACTGAGATAACCAGAAAGAAGATGGATGTTACTAAATGGCATAACCATAAATAAAGATGAATAACTTTTGGGATATATTCTGACTGGATTTATTTATCCGATAACATATGACCACAGTATTTTGTTGTTTGTTTTTCACTCTATATCTGTCCATCTCATGGCATAGGGATGTAGCAGTCTTGCTGTCTGTCTGTGAGCAGATAGTTACTCCATCTCTTGTATTTTTGAAATACAGAAATAAAAAGGAAAGAACAGAAAATGACTATTTTGTGTTAATTTCTTAAATTTTCAACAGCTGGGGCTGGGATCTGGGTGTGTACGTGTTGTTCCTTGCAACACAGTGGTGGGCTCACCAGTAGCAATGGACACAGCGGCCTTGGACCGCATGATGGCAGAAGATCTAGGAGCTCAAAAGAAACCTTTCCTTGTTATTGCTAATGCAGGTTAGTTAAAGATTTATTTATTTATATTGTATATAAAAATAAAACAAAGGATGAGGAAATCCAGGGGGTAAATAAAACTTGAGGTATAATTCAACAAAATACTAAATACTGTATTAAGAAGAAACAGACACCAGTATTTTTTTTCATGCTATATGCAGAACACTCCTGGATATACTGGAGGCTATTTGGCAGTTGCTCATTAGATTTTTATATTGAATATTTTTATTTATTTTTTCCTCAAGTAAAGTTACAATATGTGGGATCAAGTAAAGGATGTGAGATCTATCAGTTTGGAGTAATATGGAGATGTGCAAGATTATGTTTGTGGAGGAATCTCTTTAAGCGAGACATCCTTTTGTATAGCATGACAGGCTTGTAGGAAAAGGATATGAGAAAAACAACTAAAGCCAATAGCAAATTAACAATATCCATTGCTTTTCATGCCTTGGTATTAGTCCTGTTGACACTTAGAACACTATCCCTTGATGATTTTAACACTAGGAGCAGAAAGAAACACTTGGAGGTCTATGACTGTGATAGGAATGCAGCTTTGTGTACTAATGTTGCGTTTTTATTACAGGTGGTGGTGCTGTAGGGGGCGTTGATAATGTTGGTAGGATCCAAGAACTGTGTAACAACCATGAAGCCTGGCTGCATGTGGAAGGTCATGCTCTTGCTGCTCTTACACTTCCCAATGCTCCTAACCTGGTACAGTATTCACAAGACACCAGCAACATCAGTAACTTGTCTTAAATATTATGTTTAAACATGTCTATTTTTTATAATATCCTGTACATAATAAGCTGTTAATGATCTTGTTCTTTGTTCTTAGATTTATTAAATTCTCTTTGTTATCTCTAAACTATGTCATCGTCACTTCACTGGTAATAACATTTAATGTTCAGTTGATCTGCTGTTGTAAGTACAGTATGGCCAGTGACCCTGCACAAGGTGGCTCAGTAATAATTCCCTACTAAAGCACTGGCTTACTCCTGAGAGTGGCTAGATATTATTGTCATCAATTAGTATACCTCCTCATCGGATCTCTCCCATGTAAAGGGAGATTTTGAAGCAAAGGTTCCCTTATATAGTTGGATGCTAAATGATTAATTGATACTAGTGTGAACCTTGCATTTCTGTTCAGATCAGTATCCTTGGTTGTCCAGGCAACAGTTTTCATTTATTCAGGGTTACAACATCACGCTGAATCAGTGTTCTTTGTTCACCTTCCTTCCCTGCATCAGGGATAGCATTAGAGCTGTTTTGGTTGGCCTACACAGTCCTAAGTGTTACTAATAAGATTTATTTCATTATTTTCATACTGCAAGAGTTATTTACTCATTTTAAATTTAGATCCAACTGGTGTGCTGGTTGGCGGCCAACACCACCTGCCTATGTTAAGGTATCAAATGACTTCCTGGTGTGTAACCCAGTCCACCTCTTGCTGGTTGGTGTTTCCAGACCCACAGGGGATCTGGCCCAATGTTAGGAGGAAGTTTTCTGGTGTACAGTAAAATGGAATTTCAAAACTTGGGATGTCATTTTTGAATGCATGTTAGTAGTATTTTGATGAAGTGGAATATTATCAGACATAAATGTTATTAGCAAAGTAAACTGTTGAACACTATCAAGGACAGTTGTTGCAGATAATTTTTCACAAGATGGCCCTGGAGTTGCATAAAATGAAAGAAGTCACAATATAACTAATGAAAGTACCTGTACTCTATTTTCAGCCTGCCAAAGTAGGAGACAGCATGACATTGCCATTGTCTCTGTGGTTGGGTGTACCATCACTGCCTTATGTTGTATCCTTTTATAATCACATCTGCCTTGTTTTGGGAAGAATATTGTACAGTACTGCATTAACCTTTTGTACATACTGTCCATATATCATTCCTGTGTTTTGATATATCTCACATGTCAGAGAGCAGAGAATTAGAGAGAGAGAGAGTGTGTTGGATGGGTGTAGTAAGGGAGCAACTGGTGCTCTTTGAGGTACTAAATTAAGTGATTGGTAAAATAAGAGGGTATCTGGTAGAAGGGAATGAGAACACCATAACACAACACATATAATAAAGCAACTAGAAAGAGTGATATCAATAAATGTTTGTGATTCTAACCATCAAGCATCACATTGAGAAAGAGTCTGCAGTGGTGAAAGCAATGCATAAACATGGACCTGACACTCCATTGGCGACACTGGATAATGTATACTGGAGATGCCTCGAGATTTAACCAACAACAGGAGACGAGCACTACTGCATTATAGCCACTCGGCCAACACACCTCTATAATGCATAAACCTTAATCCTGTATCATTCACAGCACTACTTTTAAATTTCCTTAACAGATATTAATAGACATTGTATAAGGCGTATGAAGCTTCGGCAGTCCATTCAGCAGGCTTAACTGCCCTTAGCCTTCATGTGCGGCTATCTTGTCTTCCTCTGTGGACCACATTACAGGTGATTAATTATTAGAGTAATGGTACTGTACTCAGAAGTTGAATGTTAGGAAGAACCTGTTCAATCTGGTGCTGGCTAATACTGTTCTGAACTTAACAGGAATTAGTTTTCATGGTTTCTAATACACCTAAGGAGAGCAGTGTCTAGATGCCACTTTTGTTCATATGTTTATTTCTTCATCTGTCAAGCATTTCATGTCGTTTATAACTTTTAAACCACTGAATGGAATTGGGATAATCATTTATAGAAACGCTAAGTCAACAAGACTTTGCCACAAGTAGTTCCCAGGTCCCAATAATGAGGCCAGGATTGCATTTTGGAGACAGTTTAAGATATATGAGTATAATTGTAATTCTTCCATTTTGGGAGCATCCATCAATTTGACTGTTTTTCTTGTTTTTAAAAGTTTACATTTGTCAGATTAATCTCACGTTCAAATTACATTTATGATATGAACAAAATAGTAAATATTTGTACTGATAAACATGCACTGTTACCCCAGGCTCTAGGTCAGAGTGGTGTGATCTCTCGGTTCCAACATGCCTTTGAGTTGAGTCAGTATCTACAGCAGCATCTGGCAACTCTTTCTAGGATACGACTTCTTGTAAGTATTACCACAAAAGAACATGTCATACCTTAATTTTAACCTTACTGATTATGATTTATATTTGGTTATTTTTGCTTTCTCTCTATCTTTAGGACAACATGAGATTGCAAAGTTCACCATAGCAAGTTGACCATGGTTGTCCTTGGAAAAATTACTTAACCCTTAGGCCCCGGGTGGCATTCCAGAACGTCCACCTATTTTTCCGCCTTCTTTTTTTAATTGACTAATTATTTTTGGAAAAGTTGATTTTTTTATTTAGGGGGGGGGGGTGGGTTTACTGCCAACAGCACCCTAACCCGGGGCTTAAGGGTTAAGGATGTGACGTACAGTACATCAGTCTCCCTTTTAACCGAAATCTTCAATGCCTGGAACTCTCCAATAGCCATAATTGAAGTCGGGCTGGAAAAATTCCGGGAAAACTCTCTCCATTCTGGGTCTGCGAATTAGTTTCCGTGGATGAAAATCAAGTGCATTTTTTTTTTTTGCTGAAAAATTCCGAGGAAATCTCCCCCAAACCTTTCCGTTCTGAGCCTGGGAATTAATTTTCCGGGCTTTCGTTGCCAGAGATCCTTCCTGACTTAGCTTTCAAACACAAGAGTTGAGAAAAATTAAGTAAGAGTAAAAATTTATCTTAAAACCCAGTGGTGCTAAGATGGAACCACAGAAAAAAAATTATTCCATCCATAATGGGGTGCAGTTCAGAAGTGAGAGAAATGTTGGTCAGAGACTCCCATATGTGGTTTGAAGACTGTCTTTAAGAATTCCATTGAGTAATACTCCCCTCACTGTGTTTCTTGAAAGGAGGGATGGTAAGATATGTATTTAGGCCTGTAATCCCAGCTAATGGAGTTCCTGTTTATTTGTAATGATATGGCAGTTGTCACATCGGACACGTATTTTAGGTAGTAGAAGTGTAGAAGAACTGCAGTGTTGTATTCAAATTGTTATTACAGGATATCAAGAAATTTATAATTAGAAATGAATCTTTCGTTTTCCAGAGTCCTGCGGCACCCGACGGTAGCAACTACGTCAGTATCCAGGATTTAATTACAAAGCCCATTAGCACAGCGGTAAGAATTTGCACTGGTCAGGTTTTTAATGTAAATGTGCCCAAATAGATTCAGAATTTTATATATCCACATCAGAGGATATTGTTTTAAGAGATGAATATATTGTGAAGCCTTCCTTGTGTTTAGTATGCTTAGCTATTTTGATAAGTTTAAGAAGAATGGTCTAATACCTGTAATAACAAACTAATTTGGTAATGTGTATCAGTATACCACACAAGCAATTCATCTGTATCAGGGGTATGATTATAATTTTACTCTTATGATCCACAGCAATTGTTGGAGACTGTAAGTGGTTCTGTGGTGTTCCAGTATGTAGAAGAGAGCAACAGTGGGGGTAAAAACTCAGAGTACTACGACAACCTAAACTCTTGGGTAAGTGTGAATGATGATGGTGACTGTAACTGTATCCAACTTTCATGTTATATTCTCTGCCTGTGTAATAGGCATAATTATTCTATTATTCAAAACACTCGCCTCCCAACCTTGATAATTGACAGGTCTACTCCTCTTGGGTTTCATCATGTCTCTCTAATCCTTAAAAGTTTTGTAGCGCCACCTCCTCCCACTTAACTAGGTGACTTTTAATCATTTCAGTTGCCTGGCTTAAGAGAAGATGCTAAAAATAAAAGATTGATTCCAAAATCCAATTTTTTTTAAGCCTATAGACAGGTAGTGTTGCATTTTCTGTCAATTTTCACTTTTGTGTCTTGTGTATTTCTCTGAATGCATTTATCTACCTATATATTTTTATTATTAGTCATTATTAAATATTACTTTCACAGTTGGGTCAAGTTGTAAGGAGAGATGTGGGCACCATACCATTGGAACTGGTACAACTGGAGACAGCTGGCCTGGTGCTACGCTGGAGTCCAATGGAAGGGCCAGATACACATCACATAACCTTGGCTGATGTTGATCATCTTATTCATTCTCTTCATCACCAGTTGGTATGTTATAGACACTGGGGATACAAAGGAACAATGTTACATCACTCTGATATATATGTAGTGTTTACAGTGTTGAAGTCCCCTCCTACTCCACTCTCCATTCATTAGGATCATGGCACTTGCAGAATGCCTTGCAAATGCTTCTAAAATGTAAAGAGATAATATCTAACATTTTCTAACTCTTGAAATATGACTCAACCATTCATAATGGTATCATATTTGGAGAGTATTTATGACTTGTTTAGTATTTCTTCATAAGAATATAGATTTCAAATTAAGAGGAGTTGCTAAAAACTTGATAAGTCTAATCACATGTGTAGGTAAGCACAATTAAATTCCCCTATAATAAGTACAATTTTATTGAATAATTTGTGTCACGTTAATTTATTTCAGGATATCTTAAATGCAACGGTTCAACAGCGCATAACATTCACACAACTGGTATCATCAGCAAACAACCTTCAGTTAGTTGAAATACCTGGTTGGGCAGGACTTGGAGGAGTCCGTTATGTTGCTGATCTGTGGCCTGACCAAAATACACCTACAGAGTCAACTAAAGAAGACATAAATGCCCTAAATGTTCATTTAGTGTCTCAACTCAAGGCTACTGACTCTGCATTCTCCTTAGGTTAGTAAATTACTATGTTTGAGTCATAGATAATTTTCTTTGAGTGACTGTGTTCTTATAAAAAGTGTACTGTTTCTTGTAGTGTGGGAATATTGTTTAACAGGAATCTCGGTTAAATTGGTATAGATACATTCTTATTTTATGTAGTTGAGTGATAGAGTGCTTGCTCGTAAAAGTCACTGCACAGTCACCAAAACAGAGTACAGGAGATCCCCGAGTTATGAATGTCCGACCGATACGAACGGGGTTAAACTTGAATTTTGCAGTATTTTATTTACCTGCTGACTTATTTTATACATTCATTTACTGTATTTTGTCATTCTGTTTCTTCTTTTCTCTTAAATTAAATGAGTTTAAATGTATATAAGGACTTAGGCTATGACGTAGTGGGATTTTAAACATTATTCTGTAAGAACGGTATGCACATAACGTGTGTTTTTATTTATGTACATTTTCGACTTAAGAATATCCTCAGGAACGAAACCCATTTATAACCCAGGGACCCCCTGTACAATGTCAACGTAAGTGGTAAGTCATAACACTGTAACTGACTCATAATCGTTGAGCCACACCAGGCATGGGCAACCCGCGGCCCGGATCAAATGTTTGTGCAGCCCGTGGTGTGTGATTGAGAAATTCCATTTAATGTGGCCTGCGGTTTAGGTCGATGCAGCGAATTTAGGGCGAGTAAATTCATATTTATTAAACGAATAATCTTCACACACAATTCATTACTGTGTCATCACTTAAGAGTAGGTAATGCCAAGTTCTGCGTGGTCTGTTTGATGGATTAGCTGCTATGTGGCAGAATTAGCTAAGGTGGGTTAAGTCCAAGTGAGGTCACGGGCAGTGGTCACACACAGTTTAACTAATTAAGTGTTTCCAGTAATACAAAAACGCCAAAATCGCACCTTGGAAACCCATAGTTGGCGAGTAATTAGCATTAAAATACGTATTGCAATTAAAATCTTCCAAGCATCATTACGACCACTAATTACCCCGCAATCGAATTGTGGATCATAGATTCAGAATCAGTATGCTCAGGAATACTTACAGTACTGATATTTACAACGGAATAAAATTTTTGGCTGAAACCGCCAAAATATTAAGCCTTAGTAATTTTTAGACCGAAATATACATTAACATATTACTTAAAAAATGATTATGATGGATTTGTTTCATAAATGGGAAAAACTGTTATTGTATCCTGAAAATGCAAAAGAGAGTTGCAAGTTTTTTGTATTAAAATAATTAAATTTTAATGAGTATCTAGGAAATGTGTTTACATGTACTGTACACTTACTCGATATATGAATTTCTTCCTTATTGGTAGATATTAAGACATTTATTATGTTGACAGGTGAGGGCCATGATGGATTGAATTGTGTAAGATTTGGGATGGTGACAGCTGACACTGACATATCAGAACTCCTCTCCTTAGTTATCACCACTGGAAGAGAAATTGAAACATCTTCCAGATTCCTTGACCAAATGACTGATATTGTTCGAAAAGGTATGTACCATTGTGAAATGTAGAGTACACTTCTCATAATACTGTATGTGTTTTACATTATTTCCAATACTGTGTGATGTCAGAAATCCCAAGAATTCTTTTCATTTAGGATGAAAGAAAACTAGAAGTTCAAGTAATTATACTGTATTATTGAAATTTGATGCAGGTATTGAGGCAGCAACGGAAGATTTGAAGCGTGAGAACGAGGAACGAATCTGGCAAGACGGTATTCTGCGCCATGTACCAATTGTAGGTTCTGTTTACAATTGGTTTTCTCCTCCACCACCTCCAGGCATTAAAGGACGCACACTGGACCTTACAGCAGGTGTTCTAGAGAGTACGGAAAATATCTACCGCTATCATATGCAGGTAAGTGCAGTTTTATGGGTGCAAGTTTATTTATTTCAGCTCAGCTGAAATTTAATTTGGGACCCTGATGCTATATTTCAAGATGGCCAACACTGAAAATAGCTGGAATAACTATTCTGATGTCTTTTGATGATATAATTTTTCCTCTTTTGTCTGAAAAATGGCTAAAAATCAGCCTTGTGTCTTATATGAGAAGTTGTGGTCTCCTGTAGCCTAATGAATATCCCAGTTGTTGTCTCTAGTAAGCTAAATTCTACCTATCCAACCTCCAGAATTTTAAATAAGTTATTGCATACTTAAACACATTATTACTTTTAATTAATTAAAAAATAATTATTGTAAATATAAAAGTTGAATTTATAACTATTGATGATGATAACCCAAGATAATTAGCATTCATACGGCAGGCACCCAACTCTTCTTAGCTAAGTAGTAACCATTTCTGAACTATTATAAGTGTTACTATCTAGTAATGTCATTCTGTACTTGCAATATTTATCTTGAAATCTTGGTTAAATTCAATCGTAATAAAACTCAGTATTTACCAATTACACTTTCCAAATTAGATGGTATCCCACCAATCACATTTCAGGATGCTATTATTCTGCCAAATTCTAAAATAGATATGCTAGGCCTCACCATTTCCTCTAATATGTCAGGGAAGTCACATCCTCAACATTGCTAAAGCTGTACAGATGCCATAGCTACTTCACTCCTGAGCAGTTGCTTCAAGTATATAAGGGATTCATTCGTCCTAACTTGGAGTACTGCTCTCATATCTGGGGTGGTTCTTCTTCTGTCCAACTGTTAGATAGGGTGGCATCAAAGGCATTTCGTCATGTTAACTTTCCTCCTATAGTTGATAATCTTTCTTCCCTTTCTCTTCGCCACAATGTTGCTTCACTCTCTTTTACAGATACTTTAACGGACAATGTTCGGTGGATTTGGCATCCTGTGTACCGCCGGCAAGGCCGTGGGCTCGTAACACTCGTCTTGCCCGCGGTGCCTACCATTTCTCTGTGGATGTCGGTCACACTAGAATAACCCGTTATAGTGCATCCATCTTTTCTCACACAGCCAAACTGTGGAATGCTCTGCCTTCTTCTGTGTTTCCATACTAATACAATCTGTCTCACTTTAAAAATGCTGGTTTTCTGGTATCTTCGTGGTGTAGATCAATATAAATTTTTCCTTTTCTATTTTTAATTTCTTTCTATTCTTATTTTTTCACCCCCCTAGGCCCCGTTGTGGGTCGTTGACCTGTGCCCTGGTGGGCTAATCCCCTTAAAAAAAAAATGTAGAAATTAAGATTTACAGATAATTTTCTTTTCACATTTGCATCTGTTAACATACCTGACAATATTGTTGCCAAGTTAGACTCGTCACTGTAGCCCAACAAGGCTGTGCTATGAGGTGTTATGGTTATTTTTGGCAGGTACCGGGGTATACATAATTTTGGGGTTTAATTTTTTTTTTACTTGGCTGAATGTACACACAATCCTACATACAGAATATATAACACCCTCCCCCACTTATCCCCCTTTTTCGAAAGGGTTACGTTCTTGGAAATCATAGTGAATATTGGGCATACAGTATATGGCTGTAGGGGCATGTGTGGGTTTGTGATATCGAGCAGTTTATTACATTGTTTGTTCAGCTGTGTGTTTTGGGGTGAGAGATTCCTTCTTCTACATCTTAAGACATTTTATGCTTTGAACCTTTAACAAAGCCGTTACTATTTTCAGTTCCATTTGTAGAGGCTATTATAAAATTATAACAGCACAGACACAGGAAATTATCTGAAAATACAATGAGGGCTCTGCATAAGGTGTTAAAATTATTTTTTGTCTATCACTTGCTCTTGTTTTGAAATATCATACATGTGGCAGGCTTATAATAAAAAAAGCTCAAAATCCTCACTGTAATGGAAGTGTTTTGGTGTAGAATAGTTCAATATTAGATTAAATGAGCTGACAGCAGAAATATGGAACCCAGAACACACAATATTCTTTCTCGTAAGTTATTAATATCCTTGTCAGTGGATTCCATGTCCATAGTATTTTCCAGGAACATAGTCCCCCATAGAAATTGAGGATTAATTGTAGTATTGCCATTTTCATGCAGAGGCATATACCATTTTTAATGACTTTAGCTTACATTAATTGTCCTACTTAATTGGCTGTGTTATCTATATGGATAACTTTGTGTCATGTTGCTACTGTTTTCATTTAGATGTTAAAAAGTGTACCAAAGTAGTAGTATGTTCAGTTTTTTCTGCTTTCTTACTTCTGTTGGTTTGACCATATCCAGAACTCTTTATTTACATATGTAATTCTCTCTTCATATTAATAAGAATGACAGCAAGACCTATATTGTACAGATCCGGCATGGCACAGATCGGACTCGTAGTGAAACTAAACTTCCTCCAGCTCCCTCAGTACAGACTCCCGTTAGTCCTTCTGCTTCATCTCCATCACACTCGCGCTCATCCTCCACTACCTCAGCACCGGCCCCTGGGTCCACACACTCCCGCCAGGCATCTGATCAGCCACCTGCAGATGTCAAGTGTGCTGTTCCTACATTGACAGCTAATGGCATTACAGCAGCTGTGCAAAGCTAAATACTGTATGAAGGCTCAAAGGCTGTGTTGTAAGTGGCCATTTTGGGGTTTTGAGAGGTGAAACTATATATGCATTAAAAGATAAAAAAAGTCCTCTTAAGGTCCTGAATAACTGCTACTCACAGAATAGTAAGTGACTATTTTTCCTCAAGTATCATACAAATTTTTGTGTGAATTGATTTCATAATCTGTGGTGGCTCATAGCAATAAAGGGCTCTTATATGTTTCTTACCAGCAGCATATTTTCACATTTTGCACCATTCTTTTATATGTATTTTTGGCAAACAAGAATTATTATAATTTTTTTTTGTATATTGGGAAGATATGTGATAATAACCAATATTGGTAAAATAAATGACTTAAACAATTTGCGAAAGGCATTTCCTAACCAAAGAATTCATTTATTTGTTGTGCATTTCCTTATAAATATATTAAAATAACTGAAAGTGGCTCAAAGCTGCTCTTCTCTGCTGATAAAATTTTCCAGCATATTAAGCTGTAGTAGCTTATCACAGTACTGTATTTAACATGACTTTTTTTCTCTGGTGTCTTCAATATCTTTTTTGTCTTAATTAATTCATGAATTACAACATTTGAGACACTGAATTACATTATAACCTTGGAAATCCAGAACTCATGGGGCCGAGAACCTGCCAGATTTATGAATATTTTGGTTTTCTTACCAAGGTAACCTCTGTTATGCCACCCCCATACTAACACCATAAAGCATTTTACTGTTAAATTTTCAAAGATAATTATAGTTCACTTTGCTGTTGAACAGCTACAGCATAGAATATCTGTGTAAAAATCACACACTGCATAGACTTAACAATTCACCTTGTCAGAACAATGTAGAAAGAGTGAAAGCTTATGAGAAAAATATAATATAAACAGTGCTGCAGTCATGTAAACAAACCTAATCAATCTAATTGATTCTATGATATTTTTTAGCTAAGTTATGTAAGGTTTTGTTGTTGCATGTCATATTTTTTCAGGACTACAGCACTTGGTATTTATTCCTATTTCATTCTTTTTTGCAAGTTTTCACTCTCCACAGCACAGTGTTCTGGTAAGCTTTTTTTTCTCAAATAATAACTATATTTTCTGGATTTTTTTAAAGAAATTCTGGTAATAGCTGTGCACCACTAAACTGAATATTTACAATTCCTATAACACATAGAACAGCATCCTCCATCCATCCACAAGTTTACCAGGCAGTTCAATTTCTCATTGTGCCTACAGTGTTAGTTTTCTTGAATTTACTTGTCTCTTTCATAATTTATTAATTTCAACAATAAAGAGGTCTTTTAATTCTTTAATTTACCTCAGTTTCCTGCACAAGACATCCAATATAAAGTAAACATATGACAGGGTAGCTAACAGTGGTTGATGTTGACTTGCTCTGCTATATTTTGTACTTGTAACTAAAACATATCTTTATATACATAAATTGTATATGAAGCTGTGATACATTAGTAAAGTGAATTGCTACATTTCCAAATGGTAAGGAAAGATTCAAATATTCATAATGAATTGAGAATTTCAAGTTTTAAATTGCACAACTAGTGGCAAGAATTGTCACCCCAGACATGGAGTGCTGTCTACTTCCAAGTGTAAAACCCACCATTAAACCCCTGAATCCATCAATGAAATAAAGGAGCCACATATCTTATAAGGAAATTTGATATCACTCATACTGTATGATATTATTTGCTAATAATTTTTATTTATAAAAATTTACCTGAAATTGGGAAATACTGTGTAGGTGTCTTAGTTTCTCTGGGAATTAAAACACCAATAATCTTCCAGATTCAGGTGAATTTTTATGAAAGATTTTATGCATGGTTAATAAACATCACCAATATATATATAATGAGAAAGATAGTTTATTTTTTTATTTAGAAATATGGCTCCATTATCTCTACAAGGAGTTTGAAACTCAGATCTGTTTATGAGTTTTGACTAACTGCTGTCACTTGAATTTATTCACTGTTTTGCTACTCTGTCTAACTGTGTTATGCATTGCAGTACAGTATTGTGAATTTACCGATTAGTTTCTCCCTTAAATTTGATCACTTTGACTGTTCTTAGTGTTAACTTTCTCCAAAGTATTATATTTTATGTGATCCAGCAGCAATAGGTTATTTGTTATTTATTATTATTTTTTTTAATTTCTAAGGTTCCACTGTATTCTTTTTATGCACAATAATATCAGTGTACCTCTGAAGAAAGATCCCAAGAGTAATTGACTTTTATATAGTTTGGTTAAAGTGTTTATTTATGTATCTTGTCTTAGCATGTCCTGGTCTCTCTTTCTTGTTTACTAATTTGGATTTTGTATTGATTTTATGGAAGGATCAGCATTGTAGTGAAGAATATACAGAGGGGTTGTTGTTTATACAACTGAATCAATAGTAACTGAGAAGCTATCTTCCTTATTAATGTAGAGACAGAAATTATGGTTGCAGTGGTGTATGTACAGTAATATCCTGATATAACTGACTACTTGGGGGTGAAGGCTGGCCAGTTAAAGCCAAAAGTTTTTAATAGACAGTGTCTCTTACATCAGAGTTTTACTGTACTTGCAATATTAAAGCTTTAACGTCTAATAACAGGTCTCTTGGAGTAGAATTCATGGTTTAATATTGAGTAATACTAATGGTCTGCTAATAGAGATCTAACAAATTAGTTTTCTTTTTCTTATTTTGTTATATTCTGCAGCCATTATTACAAGTTCTTATACTTATGTGAATTATATTTTGTGCACAGTCTTTTCTCTGGGGAATGAATTATACTTTTGTAAATTCAATACTCAATTATGATTTTTTCCAAAATTATTTTCTAGAAACAGAGAACTGGAATATGGCATTGTTTACAGCACTCAACATGCCCCAAATGTCCTTCCTTTGATGGTGTGTATGTGGGTTCCTCACTACTTATTACTGTGTCAAGGTTCACTTAAAGCTCTTTTGGATTAATAATGTCTTGTTTGAATGCTATTTATGATTTAGTTTCTTATAATAGCTATTGAGAAGAATATTTACCAGGATACAGTTATACTAGTGTGTTTGACTTATCACTGTTATATTATTTGTGTATGGTATTGAATGGGCAGCAAATGTATAAACAAATTATTATTATAATTTTTTTAGCTGTTTACTTCATTGAATTATTTGACAGCAGTATGAACTTGAGAACTAGTAATGTTCTCCACACATTCCATATTTGCTGTGTAACTCCTAAAAGGTTGCATTACCAGCAGACTTAGATTTGTTTTTATTTATTAATATCTTTTTGTAATTTGATTCTATTGTTGAGTGTGTCATATTTATAGTTAGGTTATATTTTGTTCAGAAGTGGGAGTGTTCAACACTCCACTGTGTGTTTTGTATGTTGTGTGATGTGTAGCCTGTGTAAGTTCGGGGATTTTACCTGAAGTAAAGAATCAGGTGTTTGCTTTTAACTGTGGTGGTCTTTTAGGTTCCTTGCCTACTTGTGAAAGAATTGAGAAAACGTGAGAAAACGTTTGTAACTGTGGATGTGTGCTGACACCTGTTCTTAATACAGTATGTTGAAAAGGTTTACTTAGTGTGTGTGTGTGTGTGTGTGTGTGTGTGTGTGTGCGTGCGTGTGCTGTTTTCAGCATTTATTTTTAACATTCTTCTCTGGCTGTACACTACTACCATTTTCTCTTACTCTCCCAATAAAACAACTAACAGTACAGCATCATCCACAAGTACCATTATGTGTGATGCTTTCCAGTTACTCATCATTATATTTATTTCTCGTATTATTCTAACCATTAAGACCCATAAATAACTACTGTACAGCGACTTCACACACCCTTGACACTTCCAGGTTTTTCAGACCACTCACTCTCTCCCCCACTAATTCTGACACATGATTACTTTCATCTTACAAACTCCATATAGCCTTCAGTAAACTAATGCTTACCCAATACAATATAGTAGAACGTCGATTTAAAGCGATTAAATGTAAGATTATTGATTTAAAGCGACACCCACAATTAAGGACAATATTTTAATTTAAAGCGAATCTTTCCTATTTTGCGCGAGTCAATCTGGCACGTCCTATTTTAAATTTTGCTCCTAACGTTTCCCACCAGACGCCTCTCTGGGCACGCTACACGGCTGCCTGCCACCCTCTCACATCCTCAGTTCTTGCACTGACGCTCAAATGAACGGACATATTGTGGACACTATCTCCTTCTACCACGTGCATCAACCATCGCCAGTATGTCCAAGAGGCCAGCTACTACATCATTAACTACCCCAAAGGCCAAGAAATCAAGGCAAACAATTACACTGGAGCAGAAAACAAGGTGCTGGAAGCACTGCAGTGTGGAAATGGTGTTTCCCGCGTGTCAGATGCGTCCACAGTCACAGCACTAGACAGTGATGTGGATGATGAGCTGGTCGTGTTGGGCTCTGCTTCTTTAGAGGATGAATTGCCTAACTAAAGTTGAGTGAAAATCTATTTTTGATAGCATAAAGTAATTAAAAAATAAGTTGAGAGGAAAGTGAGTGCTGGGTGAGTCAGGTGGGTGGTGAGTGGCACCAGCGCGACCACCCTCTCATATCAGCTGATCGCCAGTAAACAGACCATTTCAAGTTCCATAATTTTAGCTGTGTTGATTTATGAACGTTTGTTTTAACATGATACTCCAAAAAACAATGTTTTGTTTATTCTAGGAGATGGGCTGAGGTGCATCTGGGTAGACTCTCAGCCTATTTAGTGCTTCTCTCCAGTACAAAACTAAATTATTCCATTGAAACAACACTTCGGTTTAGTGCGAATTCGGTTTAAAGCGACCTCTCTTGGAACGTAGCTCATGTTATATCGACTTTCTACTGTACTGTGCTGTACAAAGTCAGTTTTACTCATATGGTTCTCTAATATATTGTCCTATGCTATTTTTAATTCCAGTAATACAAGAAAGAAAAGAAAACGAGTTCAGAGAATATTAATGAATAGGAAGAGTCTGATGTAGTTTATACAAGGAGACTACATGACAGAATGCTTATATCAACTCTCTCTCTACTGGTATTGATGTTGAATGTTGGCATTTCAAAGTTTAGTCGTGTTAGATCAAGACTGGGAGCATAGATACTGCTAATTATTATGGTAGTCCAGAGGGTTGATGGAATAATGAAGATCTAAAAAGAATGTGTGAGGTAAGAACATTTATGGAGAGTCAAAACATTTATAGTTGATTAAGGTAATATGCATATACAGTTGAGAGATGGGTAAAGACAATTTATAACAGCATGCTTGGAGGCACAGGGCTGAGAGGAAGACAAATAAAAGATAGACAGGGAAAATAGTGAGGTTATGAGTCTTTGTATTAGAATATACTGAGAAGAAATGGTTGCAAATCTGTAGGTGAATTGATATGAAATGCTGTAATCATTGTGGCACAAAGATTCCCTTTGTATATTTGGTGTGTAAGATGGAAATGTGAGGGACTTTATTTGGATTGACTAATTCAGCCTCTTTTTCTCCCATTCTTTACTTGCACCATTTTCACCAATTTTCCTTACCATTTCCTCACTTTCTTGAGCTTTCTGCACCTGATGACTCCCCCTTGGAGAGTGGAAGAATGATAATGTATTGTTTGATTGTATGATCTGAGTTTATATACACACAAAACACAGGAAAATACATAACACCAAGTTACTAAAAATACCCCAACTAAAAACTAATAACAAAACTCACAAAAACTCATCCACCTACATACAGGTACCGGTATGCAGATGTGAAGACAATGTATCAAATTATCTTGTTAGTTCTGAGGAATTCAGAAGTGAGGTTATTTTCTGAGGCATGTTTAACATAGTTGCAATAGGTACAGTACACTAATGCCCCCCCCCCCCTTCAAAGTACTGTACTGTAATGCCAAAGATCATCGACATGGGAGCATTTGATTGTGTCGAGCTCGTCTCACGTTTAATACAGGGTAGACTAAAGTTGCTGTTTCCACAGACATATGGTGTTTATGTACTGTACTGAAGTATTTATTGATTTTGTACAGAATTATAGCATGCACTGCTGTACTGTAATGACTCATGAAGAAAATTGCACCAAGTAGTTTGAAGTCTTACACATGCCTCTGGTTATTTTACAATTATGTTTTACAGTGACGAAGTTATATTGTCATACTACTATATGATAATGTAGATGAAAATAAATATGAACTGAGCATATTTTAATCATACTTAAGAATCACCATATAGAAATAAGTTAGCTTATATTTTTTTGTTTCATTCAATTTCAAGGTTATTTTACTTTGT